ATCCCATACAAGTCATCTTTGCTTTGGCGATCAATTCAGTCAGTCTTTTTTTTCTTTATTTCAGTTGCAGTCCACAATTTGATTAATTTTAAATAGTTGTAATCTTGTGGGTGGTTTCTTGTTAATCACCCTGAATCATAGAATTCTGGAAGGCAGTGGCATAGGGGAAGACCATAGAAGATTCATCAATTTAGATGGCAGGTGTAGTCGAGTATTGAAAGCACTGGTATAGTTATGCATGCTGTATGCCTTTGAAGTGTATTGATTTCAGAGTGAGCAGGCGCGCAATTGGTTTACCACTGTTTGATCATTCTCTTCAACGTTTACTGGATCGAATTTGTTATAAATGTATGGGATTAAAAAAAAACTTAAGACGAGCGCGATGTCGGGCCAGAATATCGTTATAGAGCGAGTGACATAGAAATAGAAACGTAATGCACTCTGTGCATACCTTCAGTCGAAGCCGACGAGTATTCTTATCAAACTTGAAAAAGACCATAGCGGGTAACTTTTGATAACGATAAAGTCAATGGCCGGAAGGCAAGTCCGAGAACATCCTAATCAGAGGAAAATGTAGTAATGTTCTGATTGGCACTCTATCCAGCTGAAAGTCGATACCGAAATGGTCGGATGCTTGAAAAATCACAGATAAGATGGAATATTGATAGCAATACCGACAGATTACCTACAGAATGCATATTGAAATGTTGTTCTAATTTGGCCAATAGGTCAGCAAAAGAAAAAGGTGGTTCTTGCTCTAGAGATTGCAACAAAGGAAAGACAAGGTAGATTGTTGGCTGACTGTTATCAATTGACGTTATTCGTTCAATCTGAAGCGGCAACAGGTGTCTAGACCAAAATCGAAACGAATTTCTTCCTGATAGTGATACTGCTTCAATTTTGTTATAATTGATCAACACATTAGAAACCCGACAATAGGCCTTGATATGTTTTTGCACTCGAACCAGATCATCAGGATCATGAACAAACACCATAGTATCGTCTGCATAGCATAGTATCTTTGCAGACACCCTAGTTGGCCAAATGGACGTTGATGGGAGAAAACTTGGAGCTAATCGCAACGTGTGTCCTTTCATCAACTTATCTTCAAGAACAGACTTTAGAAAGGAATCAAAAGCCAGATTATACGATACTGGTGAGATAGGATTGCCTTACTTGATTCCTCTTTTCTTGTAAACCATTCGAGCGAAGTGTCTATTAACATTGATCTTGATTGAGTTTTTGGAGAGAAGATGGAAAATTGTTATTACTATATTTTCAGGGAATCCAAACTTCAAAAGTATGTGTTTTAGATAGTTTACATTGACTCTGTCATAGGCTTCTTTCTGATCCAACATCAATGCAAGATCATAGTCTCTTCGTTGTTCCTTTGGACTTCCATCCATCGTTTCTGAGCGTCTTCCATAATTGTCTGAACAATCGTTCCATTTTCGGCAATAAACCTTCCAGGCACGAATCCAAGTTGAAACCGATTGATCAGTTGTAGAGTAACTTGCATTGTTCTTCTATCCAACAATTGAATAATCTGTATTGGCTAAAGTGATTGGACAATGATTTTTCATGTCGGATAAATTTCCTTTCTCAATAAGTAACACCATGATCCATTCATTCCAAGAAGATGGAAGAATACCATTCAATCCAACGTTATAAACTTCAGAGATCAAAAATTGCATAGCGGGGCACTGCATCATCAAACGAAGTGTTTCGTATGGAAGGCCATCCTGTCCTGGACTGCTCTGTTTCGGAATTCACTTGGCTTTTTCTGCAAGTTCATCTATACCGATGATTCGACGTTGATTATCGTTCAAACACACTCTATCAGGAATGTAAAATAGCATTTTTTTTTGAACTGCTCTATGATCATTGGCTTCAGAAGAGAGAAGTTTTGAGTAGAACTGATGCACAATCCTTTCTTTGCTCTCTTGATCACTATGTAATCCGTTTGTACTGGTATCTCGAAGATCACCCAATGCTTTCTGTCGTCTTCGTATTGTAATGGTTCTTTTCAAGTAAGCTGGCGAATTCTCGCCTTTTTTTCTCCAGAACTTGTCTGCTCGCAACATATCAGTCTCTGCGACTTCTTCCTGTAGAGTTACTATCTGCCTTTCTATGTCTGGTAGTCTCCAGGCTAAGGTTTGGAATTTCTTTTGCCTTCGGGACATCATGTTTCGTTTATTGTTCAGTCTTGATATACACTTCTATGGATACCAAGGTCAAGAGCTTGCTCGTAGTGGGAGAACCGACTCTCCAAATCTTCCTTTAGAAGGCGAAGGGACATAATAGGGAGTCGATCCAATCCAAGTCTTACAATGCGAGCATCAGCTGGGTAGCTGGGAAAGCCTTTAATAAAGGCACCATCTGCCAAATACACTTCATCATTCAAGATTGTTTGGCGATACGAACTGCCTTTTCTTCAGAGTGTTTCCATAAACAAGCGGTTGAGATATTTGCGGATCTCAGGAACGCGACCACAATAATCTTCATGGGCCCTGTTCTGGTCCATGTTTTCGTTAAAGCCAAGAAGAACATCAAACAAGAGTTTATCGTTTTTGATATCCGTAATGTCGGTAAGAACGCTGCCTTTAATATAAGGTTGAACTAAGTTGACAGGTGTTGGTTGACGAAATTCAGACATGAGCGATTCACTGATGGTAGATGAGTCTGTAAACGATGCAGACGGGACGAAGACAGTTGGCCGACAGAACAGATTAGTACGTGCCTGACCTGATACAACTTTCACCCGAAAGAGAGAGAGAGGTGCTGTTATTATTCTTGCCTGAGCTGGAAGTTTTAGCTTGAAGTTTACGATTCGGAGAATTAAGCGGAAGAGCTATGAGAAGTTGTCAAGTCAATCATTTTCAGAATAGGACCCTTTGGTCGAAAGGTCATTTTGACCAAATTTTTCAAGTCGCTTTTTTTAATCCAAACCAACTTCAAATGTATCATATGTGTTATTAAACATAGTTTGAAGGTATCTGGTGCATATATACGTGTATAAATATCATTTGTGCTCTATTTTTGTGCATATAGTTTATAAGAAAGGTGCATCCAATAATAATACACGAAATAACATCAGAAAAGCTTTCAGGTACTTTTTGAACTGTTTGAAACTTTAGGTAGTTTTGTATAGAATACTCTTTAATGCATGTTTCAATAAAAGATAATAAAACAAAAGAAAAATTCTAGACAGTTGTATGTAAAAGCTTATTCAAATGATACACTTGTTTTTTCAATGTAGTGCTTGACTCTTTTCATAAATTATCGAGTAATCATCTATCAACTATTAAGATCAAACTAAGACTGTACACCTTGATTAATAATACCATGTAAAAAAAAAAAAAAAAAAAAAAAAAAAAAAACTTTGACAGTAGGTGTGAACTAAGGTAAACTATTTTTTACGCCCACAAAGTTATTTTTGGAGTAGTAAACTCGGTCACTCTATTAAGCTTTAGTAGTTTCAAATAATTGTACAACAAAATAGGAGATGTGTTGAGTGTTTAAACCATTTTTTTCTGCATTCCTCCTATTTTCTACAATAGACCCATCGCAGATCACTGCTTATCAGGTATTTTCTTCTCTTCAAGTCCCCACAACCAAGTCTTTGAATGATCGAATGCTCCCCCAAAATCTTTAAACACAGTGTTTGTTTCGATTCCCATTTATTGGTTCTTGTCATGGCTAACTAGTATTACTTTGAACATCGATTCTATTCAGCCATAAAGTCGATATAGACAGAAAAAATTGCCCCCTTCTTCCTATACAGAATTGTCAAAGCGCAATCCTTTTTTTTCTTTAGTTTATGTAACTTGGACTATCGTTTTGATGAACCATTATATTCGATTAAAATCTTGATCCCCCAAAAAAGACAATTGTTGGTTTCCCACTCTACGCTTAACACTAAAGAAGAGAACTTGAACTATCGATACCATCTACTAAAACATTCGATTGGGATTTTTACACCCACATTTATCCCCCATCTCATCTATATCTATAAGATACAATCTTCTTTTCGATTTCCATAATTATTCATACATAAGCTTGCTACTATCAATTTTATTCGGTTTTAACTTCAAATTTCATGCTTTATTTCTATCCCCCCCCACAAACACTCTCAGATTTGAATAGCAATTAAAATGCTGGTCATACTTCGATGAGCTTCTTTCCTTGTGTAAAAAAAATTGAAAGAGACTTGATTCATGTTTAATTGGAGAGTGCAATATACTTTTATTTTGTTATTATGTTAAACTTATCATTTTGTTTCATTGTAGCGTATAGAATAAATGCTCCCCCAAGAAAAAGAGACAAAGTTAGGCTTTGTTTTGTACCCACCAAAAACGCCTTGATGGTCCCTGAATTTTCTTGTGTTCCTCGTATGAGCAATCGATTCCACTTACTGTAGATTCGATACATACTTACATGGTTTGTCAACCCCCAAAAAAAATACGACGCCCAACATAGCTGTAAATACTTGGGGGACAATATATTGTTTTTTTCTGTCAAAGCGTATCGCTATCTTTCACTACAAAATACGATGTGCACTAGAATTAAATGCATCCCCCCAAAAAGCATGATTGGGCCTAGTCAAAAAAAAAAGGAAGGTTATGAGAAGTTAAGAACACTATTGTCAAATATCTGTGCTCATCGGTTTTGGTTGCCATAGAGTTCGATGTTAACTTGAGCTTAATTCTATTTCTACCTTCCCCTCCCCCCCACAAACAGAAATCAAATTCAAAGACTTTTTTGATTTTACAATACATCATTTGCATATTTCTAGCATTGTTAGTTTAAACCATACACATCCTAATTGAATAAAAGAAAAGTATTCCAAAAAAAAAAGTACGAAAAGGAAAGCAAGAAAATCAGATGGATTGATAGAGATATGTCAAAAAGAATTGTTTATTTGGGGGGACACCACCTCTGAATTCGTATATAAAGAGCCACTTTTCCCTTTTTTTCTAGTTTCAATAAATTCTAATTCATTATGATTCTAAGCATTTTATTTACACTCTCACCTATTGTATTATTACTCTCAATATTCGCTGTGCTTGATGCATGCTTATTTGTTCAAACAACACAACACACTACACTTCCTTGTACATATATTCATAACTCAGACTTAATGATCAGCAAAGTTACACCTACCATCCAACCCTCTAGATCACAAGCGGAGCCTATACATAAACCTTTAAAACTCAAATCGAAAGCAAAGGTACTACATAATACAACGATCTTAATTACTGACATTCAATTCTTAGTCTTTTCATCGACTCTTCAAGAAACTTGCTCGCGTCGTCTTGTCTAAAAAGTGCCATCAAAAAAAGTTACAGGAAAGCGTCTGGTACGACATTACCCCTGACGGTCACACGGCTGTGATTCAAATTAATTTACCTACTGCTTCTGCTCCTCAAAGTGACTCTCTTTCCATGTCTTCTCTCTTGAACGATAAAACCACATTCGACTATGCTCAGCGTATTTGGGACGAAGATGCAACCGTCTACAGCAACATGAATCGCATTGTAGAATGGATTGGTAATGGTCAGCCTGACAGTAACGCTATCTTGAAAGCATATCTTCAGCATTTTGATTTTAAAGGACTCAAACTTGAGCAAGCTTTTCGCAACTTGTGCTCTAAATTGCACCTCAAAGGCGAAACACAACAGATTGATCGTATTCTTTCTCGATTTGCCGAACGATACTTTGAATGCAATCCCAAATGTATTTTTGGTTCTTCAGGTATGTAAAATAACCTATTCATGCTGTCCAACTCACCCTCTCTTCCTCCATCAACAACAGATGTTGTCCATGCGATTGTCTATTCTCTTTTATTGTTAAACACAGATCTTCATGTAGCTCAAGGCGACTACAAGAAAATGTCTCGATCTGCATTTATCAAGAACACCCTGTGTGCTATTCAAGCTCAACTCAATATCTCTACCTGCATTGATGAACACTCAATTTCTGAAGAACACAAAGCCAGTGGTCTCTCTTTTCAATCGTTTGATTGGATTCCTCTTCAACGCACACCTAGTGGTCACAGTGGATTCAGTTCTCGTTCTTCCAACTATGCTCCTTCTTTGGACTCCTCTATTTCTACTCACAGCCATATCGCCCTAGGATCCAAGTCATGGCAACTTGAAGTCAAGAATTTATTGAAGCAAATGTACAGTAGCATTCGATACTGCCAAATAAGCGATCCTTCCTCTCCACCTACTTCTATACATCAAAGCAATCGTGTCAGTACTGTCTTGAAGCGTAGTATGGGCACAATTATCTGGAGACAGGGCCGTGATACAGCCCAAGAAGACGATTCTATCTCAAGCTCTATAAGTTCAGTCCCTTCTTCTTCTCAAACCTCCTTACTACAATACCAAATCGTCGCTTCTCATTTGCAGACAGAAATCCCCACTAGTTACACCAGCAATGCCCCTTATTATAAGGAAGGTATGGTCGTCCGTAAGCACCTGTTGGAAAAAGCCCATCAAAAAGCCAAACACAGAGACTGGAAAGACTGCTTTATGGTCATTGAACGTAGTCAACTCAAGATGTATAAACTCGATAGTACCAGTGAGCAACGCAAGCGCCATTTGATTCGACACGCCTTGATGACCAAGTACTCAGACAATGAAGTGGTTGGTGGTGGTGACTGGTTATCCAATGCTCAATTGATGGGTTCGATTGACCTCAAGCATACCTTGGCCAATGCACTTCCTTCTGGTTATAGTCGTCAACGTCAACATGCTTTTGCACTTCAACAACCTAATGGTGCTGTCTATTTGTTCCAAGTAGGATCTGAAGAACAAGTGCATGAATGGGTCTCTACCTGCAACTATTGGGCTGCTAGAGAAAGCAAAGAGCCAATGACCAATGGCGTGAGTTCAATGGAATATGGCTGGACTTGTACCAAAGATATGGAGAACACAATCATTCATGAATGGCAAGCACCCATTCCTCCTAGCTGCAGTAGCTTATTGGAAGAACCCGCTCAATTAGAAGCACTTCACAAACACATCAAGGAGTTGTCAAACGAACTGGACCAACACCGTGATATCAAACCCAAGATGGAAGCTCGATTTGCTGGCTCAAAATTAGCAGCCAAAGTCATGGTCAATTGGGAAAACAAGTCTTCTTATCTTTTGCATGAAATCATCAAGTATCAAAACTACTGTGATGCCATTGAAAAATCACTTGCTTTACAGAATTCCATCTGTTCTTTCTTGTAAAATGTATTATACCCTTCCCTTTTCTTTTTAGATGTAAATAAAAGTTTATTCAAAATTTTAAGCAGCAATATCACTCTCACTACTTTCTTCTTCCTCTTCTTCTTCTGAGTCTGTTGTTACTTCTTCTTCTTCAGAATCACTTTCTTCAGACTCTTCTTCATCTCTTTCTCTTTTAGCAGTAAAGCAATTACGAGCAAGATGTCCTGGTTTTCCACATAAATAACATGTCTTCTTCGTCTTTTTTGAGACTGGGCAGTCACGAGCAATATGTCCGTGCTTCTCACAGTTATAACAGAGAATGTCACTTGCTTGACAGTCCTTTGCAAAATGGTTGGCTCCACCACAATGATCACAAATCACTGGCTTATAGCTCTTTTCTGAACGGAAACGAGGTGCCCGAGGTTGAGCTTCGTCCGTACATTCCTTTGCAATATGTCCCTAAGTAATATATCAGCATACGGCATGAAGTGAGAGGAGAGAGGGGAGGGGGATAATACTTGCAAACTTTTGACAATTGAAGCAGCGTTTTCCTTTGTCTTGAGACGCTGACTGTGTACGGGGTGTGGGGCATTGAGCAGCAAGGTGGTCAGCTACATGAGTCAATCAGTGAGAAGAGTAACATAGACGTATCGCATGCTTACATTCGCCACAATTAAAGCATTGCTTAGGTTGAACATGCTTAGGTTCAGTGCATTCTGTAGACAAATGTCCAGGTTGTTTACAGTTATAACAAAGACGATCTGCTTCGGAACAAGCACTAGCAAAGTGGCCAACTAATTCATACTGAGCAAGAGCATAGACAAACAGTTCACTTACGGTTGCCACACTTGTAGCAAGACTTTCTCATGTACACCATGATAAGATGTTTAAAAAAAAAAGAGAAAAGAAAATTTTGTGGCTAAAGTGTTTGCGTTCTGCAAATCTTTTTTTTTTTCTGCCTTGTTTTATGCAATGAGTGATTATGAAGATGATGAACAATTGATGGACTATTCACAACTACTCAAGAAAAAGTAAGCAAGTCTATCCTATAGAATATGCTAATAAGTCCAAGCCATAAGAAATTAAAGCGTGGCTCAAAAGCAAATGATACAGCTCATGTCGATATTGATCAACTAGACAAGGCGCGTTCTGCTTTGTTTGAATGCATAGGCCAAGTCACCAAAGTCAAGAATACTAGTCGAGGTGTATTGGCTACTACATTTCCTTATTACACAAGCATTCTTCAGAACAAAGGTACTCATTTGCACACCATGGGCTTCTCAATTAAAGGTGTTATTACATTGTATCCTGAAGAAGCTGCTTTTCTTGTCTCTCGAAGTGCATTGATAGTAACAGCACAAGATAAACCTATTTTGTTTGAAGACTATTGTCAGATTCTATGTGAGAAGGGCGATAACTGGATTACATTTGAAAAGTATCAAGTTTATGCTTATTTAAAACGACTGGGATTCATTGTCATGCGAGCCCATAGGCCTATACCAACTCCAAAGGCACCTATTCAAGTATCAGTCTGGAGATACCTTTTGAACAGAATGACAGCATGGATTTATGATCCAAATAAGAATAGACCTCTTGCATGGAATTATTCACACAGGACATATGCTTCTGTTTATTCTACATTACAAATTATCCCTTCTAGTCCTTGGTATAGACCCTTTATGACCTTTGTTGATTGGTATGTCTATAAGCCAAAATCAGGTTGGAAAAAGAAAGATCCTGGTGTACCTGATTTTAAAGTGATTGTAAAGAATATCCATGATCCCATGCCTTCATTAGATGAACAGGCACAGTTATTCACTCAAGACAAACAGTTTATTGTGGCTCTGGTAGGAGATGCAGAGAGTATTACTTTTCTGAAATTAGCAGGTGATGATATGCAGGACATTTCACAGCGCATTCAACCTATTCCATCTCAAAAAAGAAGGGGATGATCTATCTTGATCTACTATTGGTGCAAATTGCACGTCACATGTCATGTATAAATACACACACATACACACAATTGCATCTTATTTAGTTCTTTTTTTCTCTTCTTCTTCTTTTCCTTATACTTGTATAAATATTCAATTATGGCCTCTAAACTTGATCAAGCCCTTGATGAAGTTATCAAAGATAGAAGAAGCGATCAATCTGGAAAGAGATCACGTCGTACTGAAACAAGCTTCTTAAGACGACAAGACTCTGGTAATATTCGTAAACGTCTAGGCAACAACAACCAGTCGCCTGCTATTCGTTCTTTTGTTCGCACTGTCAATGTTCAACCTGTAAGTCAATAACAGCTATACCTAAAGATACTTATTCAAGTGATAGAGAGGCAATCGTAATGTGGATGGTCAATGGTCTCATGACTTGTTTGATGATGACCATGATGGTGGTAGACAGAATATCATGTCTCGGCTTGGTAATGTACGAGGCAGAGACAACCACAGTCAGCATACGCGCGGTGTAGAGATCAGTATTGAAAACTTGCACTATGATGTGACTGAAAAAGATGTGGAAGAATTGTTTTCTACTGTTGGTCAAGTCCTTAAAGCTCATATTACGTTTGATGCTTCGGGTCGCTCAACCGGTAACGCCCGCGTTAAATATTCATCTATGAGTGACGCCGAAAAGGCTGTCAGCAAATACAACAATGTTGAATTGGATGGACAAACTATGCGTATTGAAATCAAGGAATACACAGAAAGACGTCATCATGGAGGGTAAACACGCCTTGTTCCTTTTTATGTGTATACTTATTTGTATTAGACGATCCAGCAATAGTCATAGCAGCCGCTTTGGCCGTAAAAATACTCGTCATGAAAGACGCGACACGCATAGAAGTGAACGACGTAAAGAAAAGACAGCAGAAGATTTGGATAAAGAAATGGATAGCTATATGCAATCAAACGTAAATAACAACACAAGACCCTTACTGTTGTACTCATTTATTCTATAGAACTCAACTGATATGGTTTTGGATTAAACACTCTTCCTCTAAATAAATGCAATTTAGCCTAAATTTTTGTTTCTCTCTTTTTTTTTTTTTTGACTGCATAGTGTATTGACTAGCTTATTTGTACTGATGGTAAGAATAGCATGCCACATTCTAAATCCTATTGTCGCTCAAGGACTACCCCTACTTTGATAATATATCAATTGGATTTGACATTCGTATGGGTGATATACATAAGATGACAGCTATGTATTGAAAGAAAGGCACTATGCTCATTTCTTGTAAAAATACGATCAGTCTGTATGGGTCAATTCCATTATAAATCAAGTATCCTACTTTTTTCTATGCAGCTAATGTATGCGTTTTTGATCTCATCTTGCGTTGAGTTTGAATATAACAAACAAACAGGTTACACCAGCAAAAAGTCTGTTTGATTCAAAAAAAAAAAAAGGACTCGTTTGTCTGTTACAGTTTATGTGATTTCCAGTCTGTATCAAGCATATGCTTGTTTTTGAATGCTGAATGAACAATGGCTATATGAAGACAGCGCTTATTCAGTTGAATCAATTTGATGCATGATTGAAATACTTTTTATTTTTATTTTTTTACATGTTCAATCCTATATGCAGCGAGAGAAAGAAAGAGTGGGAAGGTGGCTTGCACATTTACCAACGTTTATGTAACACCAGGAAACTTCTGAACTACATCGAATTTTGCAACAGCGACTTTCAATTGACTGTAAAAATCTCTCTCTCTCTCTCTTTTTTTTTTTCTTTGCTTTTCTTTTTTTTTTTTCTTGTTTTTTATTTTTGTTTCTTTTTGGCTACTTCTTTTTCTTTCTGCTTATCGTTAAAGAGAAAGCCAACAAAATCTAAAAAAAATAGTGTTAAGTGTATGTTATTTTTGAGAGTTTAAAACTTTCATTAATAGATGCACGGAACTATTTCGACCAATACTCGAGTTTGTTTTTATTGTTGGTAAATCATGGATTGCATTGAATCATTTATGCTAATTTTTTTTTCTTTGTCAGTTTTCTAGCTTTAGGTGGATTTTTGGTAAAAACAAATAGATACATAGATAAAATAGACTTACCTTTTATATGTATATATATATATATATATATATATGTCTATACGGAACAGTATGGGTAAGCCATTTCCCCTCCCCCCTTTATAGAATAAAATAATAAATCCGTTCCTAGTTACAATTTCGGTGTATTGACAGGCTTGCTTTTGATGCCTTCGTTTGTTTCAGATCTTGCTATCTCTTCAGAAACAGTCAGTTCTGCATTGATCAGTACATTAATGGCAGGTGCTTTTGTAGGTGCCATTGTCTCAGGCCCTTTAGCTGATACGATTGGAAGAAAGGCACTGATGGCACTGGGTATCATTATCTTTATTTTTGGTAATGTGTTACAGGTGGGAGCTGCAGATATCAAGGTCATGTATGGTGGAAGAAGTGTGACGGGTGTGAGTTTAGGGTAAATAATGACATGATTGTTGTATGATGACTAACGCATTCTCTATAGCATTCTGTCTATGGTTGTACCTCTTTGTAAGTATGTTTATATTTGTAATTCTTACGTAACTCTGGCTTAGATCAATCTGAGATTGCACCCAAAAATATGCGTGGTCGATTAATGTCTATTCAACAATTTGCTATCACTCTCGGCACAGCTGTCTCTTACTGGCTGTCTTATGCTTTTGTCGATGCTTCTGAATCAACAGGTTGGCGGTAATTACAAAAAAAAAAAAAAACAATAAGGATGGAGGGATTGTATTTACCAGTAACTCATATGGAATAGATTAACATTGGGTCTTCAACTTGTACCTGCCTTTATTTGTCTTATAGGCTTACTTTTGTTTATACCGCAGAGTCCACGCCATTCGATTGACAAAAACTATCCAGCAGAAGCACTTGAAACACTGTCAAAAATCAGAGGTGATGGCACCAAGACACACACAGCTGTCTTGATGGAATTCACTGAAATGAAGCAGAACATTTCGTTCGAACACAAACTGTTCAAAGACCATAAATATAAACGAATTTTTTCTAATGGACCCGAGCATAATCTAAAGCGACTTTTACTCGGAATGGCTGTACAGATCTTTCAACAATTTACGGGCGTCAATGCGTTATTGTAAATAACTAATATGGAATCAACAAAAAACCAACTGATCCAATTGATAGAGTCTATGCTCCTCAAATATTTGAAGCAACCGGTATTCGAGGAAGAGATGCTTCCCTTGTTGGTAAGTTTCCTATCCATGCTGTGATGTCTGTGTATTCATGTATCTTCTAGCTAATGGACTAAGTGGGTCTATTAACTTGTTAGCTACTATTCCTGCCATGATATTTGTAAGAAAATAAAAAAAAAAAAAAAAAAAAAAAAAAAAAAAAAAAAAAAAAAAAAAAAAAAACTATCAATATACTCATGTTTGCATAGATTGATCGATGGGGAAGACGTCCTACCATGATTATTGGAGCTATTTTATGCAGTGTCTGTATCGGTGTCATGGCTATTTTAGCAGGTGTACACAACTATGCATTTGCCAGCACAAGTGAATTTTTGACCACAGCCGAAACAGCTACAGCCAACACAGGCAAGAGTGGCAACCCTTTAATTTTGTTATTTGATACCAGTGGATCCACCATTGCTTTTTTGATTGTTATGTATTTCTGTGTTGCATTTTACTCATGCACATGGGGCACATTAGGTTGGATTTACCCCACAGAACTCTATTCTCAAGGTGTGAGAGCCAAAGCCTTAGGCATCTCCACTGCTTCCAACTGGTTATTTACTTATGCTGTACTCCAGTTGACGCCTATTATGCTACAGAACATTTATTGGCGAACCTATGTCTTGTTCTCTGTTGCTTGTTTGATGATAGCAGTCATCGTTCATTATGAGTTTCCTGAAACAAACGTAAATCAATAGAATTCCAAGAATGTCTAACTCATATTTTGTGATAGGGAAAATCACTGGAAGAAGTAGATCTTATCTTTAGTGGTAAATTTGGCTCATTTGACACAGATGTGCATCACCCACAGACAGCTGCTGCTGCCTTGGCTCAAATGGAGAAAGTGCAGCAAAAGAACAGAGATTTATATCGATTTCCATTTACACCTGAAAGAACAGCATTTACAAATCATCATACAGCTAGAATACCATTTTTAACAACAAGGCATTATGTTGTTACTACTCCCACACCTCATTTCTAATAATACTTAATACTAATAAATATCGTTGTAAATACACCTTTTATTTAATTCATCAGTTTAGGACAATCACTGTAAACAAAGAGAGGGAGTCAATATTGTCATTCAACCAAATGTGTTGGATGCTTTACCGAGTTTTATGAGCAAAACTACCACATTGACAACATTGTTCCATATAGAGTATCATGTTTAATCTAAATAAAAAAGAGACAAGGGGGCCTTTTTATATATATATGAAAGCAAAAAGGTTGTCAGAGTTTATTTTTATGCAGCAAGCAAGGCCATCTTTTCATCTGTTAAATCCTTATATTTTTGTTGTAAATCTCTTTCTCTAGTGGCAAGCTTATATACTTCATCTTCTAATGCTTCAATGCGTCTTGGAATAGCTGCTTTCTCTGCTATTTGTAGATTAATAAAACTTTGGTATTCAATCTGAACAGCTTCATATGCTTCAAAAGCATCCATGATTTGTTGTGACAACACTTTGGATCTGTTCATATAACCACCTAATCTGACATCTAATTTGTTCTCTAGTTTACCAGCCTTAGTTGCATCACGAATCATGGCTTGTCGATTAGCCTAGAAAGAAGAATGAGTGATATGGAATAAGGCAGTCTATACACTTACTTCAACAATTTTATCTAAGCCTTGAATGATGTCTTGTTCATCGTCCATTTCTTTTAATGTCATGAATTGGTTGAATTTAGCAGAGAACAACAATTCATCATGTTCTTCTTGCCATTTCTTTTCAAAAGAGGGATGAGAAGAGACATGTTCCCAAACAGCCTTTTTGATGTCAATATCAGCATCAAGACCAAGTTGGTTAGCAATCTCAGCATCTAATTCTTGACGAGCATCCACCAATGCCTGGGCATCAAATTCATCTTCTAGCTGAGCAATTGAATCATCTAATGAAGTAGCACCAGGTGCCACTTTACTACCAGCAACAGGATATTTAGCAACATCATGCTTCAATAGACGCACCAATTCTTGTTGAACTAACTGTTCAGCCTCAGTAGCATTCACATCAACAGACAGTTCAGGTACAACAGTAGGTCGAGGCAAGTTTAGTTGGACTGCCATGGAACGACGAGCAGCACGCTCTTGAGCTTCAGCTTCAGCTGTTTCTTTCATTTCGCGCTCAAGATCACTCATGTCTTGAACTGTGTCTTTCTTGGACTTTTCTTGTTGTTCTTGTTCCATCTCGGGCAATTTGATTTCCCATTCATTACGTGGTTTAGGAAGACTACTAAGGCCTTGTAAGAGCGTACGCTTACGTTGAGTCTGGAATGTTTTTTCTTCACGGGGTGTCTTGAAGGGAGTCTCGTTACCGAAATTCGTGTTTTGTCGAAGTGGTGTGGCCATAGGATTAGGTGTCTGAACAGGTGCTGCTTTAGGTGTGGCCCCTTCAAACCCTGTACCTTGTGATAATGCTGTATTCTCACCACCTAAAAGAGGAGTTTGTGCATTACTAAGGGCAATCAAGTTACGTGCTTCGACCATCAAATTATCATTGCTGGGAGGTGCACGGGGTGTTCTGGCTGCTAATGTGTTGGGCGTAAAGGCATAATCACCCACAAGGCCTTGTGTTGCATCCACCTCACTCTCTAACACTAGATTTTTGGCACTTTCACCAGCAAATCCAGATTTGACAATCTCTTCAAGTTCTTGTTCACCCACTTGAGGTGCAGGCAAGACAAGCTTACGACGTTTGGCAATCTGTTCTTGTTCTTGCATTTGCACGATTTTGGCATTCTTGGCAGGCACAAATTTACCTTGATTGCCTTCATTTGAGCCTCCTTTTGCTTTACGCTTCTTGTCACGGTTCTTTTCTTCTTCAATATCTGCACGACGTCTGTTAAGCTTAGACAAGTGAACATTGGTCAATTTTCCAGGATCCACTTTTTTACTAGCTTCTTCTGTAGTATCATAAAAACCTAAAGCAGGCTTCTTTTCAAATGGAATGTCTGTGTTATAGTCCATGACACCCTTCTTTTGCCTAAGACGCATATGAATACCAGCAGCCTTTAATTCTCTTCGCTTTTGAAGTGCAGTCAATCGTCGTGCTTCTTCCAACTGTCTTTCTCTGGCCTTTCGCTTTGCTTTTTTACCTTGTGTGTTGGCTAATCTGGCACGTGCTTCTGACAGCATTTCTTTTTCATCTTCGTCCATATCCACAGGATCAGGACGGGCAGGTTTTGATTCAGGTTCAGGGTCAACTTCACCAGGTCGCAATTTACGTACATCATCAGCACTGGGTCCACTTTCATGACCAATAGAACCTGTGAGACCGAGTTCTGCTGCTCTTTCTGAATCTTTCGATTCTGCTTCATCCAACAAGCGTTGATAGCGTTCTAAACATTGAGCAGGTGTACGGCCTACAATAGGTGCAATCGTACGCCATTGGGTTGGCATCAATTTAGCCAAGTGTAATAGTTTTTCATCTTCTTCTTTTGACCATTCTGTCTATAATAGACACGCGTATATTTAATATCAATCAACATACTGTGTGTGTGTATTTTACCTTTTTGATACTAGGATCTAACCATTCAAACCATCTTGCTTTACATTGCTTGGGTGTTTTTCTGACAAGTAAAGACGAAATACGTGCCCATTGATTTTTACCGTATTTACTGACGGCAGCTTTCAAGATTTCATCTTCTGTGTTCTTCCAAACACCACCTTTGATAATGAATTTCATTTTTTTTCTGTATGAGACAAAAGAAGGTCAAAAAAAAAAAAATTGGACGTCATCTTTTTATTTGGTCGTATCGAACTCCGACCGTGAGCTAATCAAGTAACTTTAAACTTGCAAAGACTTTTGACAATCCTGTAACTGAACTTCTAAGTGTTATTTTCGGTTCTAAGTGTACAAATGCTTAACAATAATAATATACAGAGAAATTTCGATGAAGCTAGTTTTTTTTTGTAAACCATTAATAGCAAGATGACACTAAAAAAGGAAATGTCAGAGATGCATATCTTTATTTTGTCAGAGGTATCATTAACAAAAGAGCGATTGAAAGGTTTAGTCATCTGTTAGCTATCGGCATTTCTGGCTTTAGCCCAATAAGCATGCTTCATAATCGTTTTTACCTATTTGCTCAATATTTTAGCATCAAAGCTACTATCAATAGACTCAGCAAGCAACGATCTTTATTTTGTCACTACACTAAAGTCCAATAACCGCGCCTTTATGCAGTTCTCAATAAAAGCTCTATTTTTATTACGGTGGGAAGAATTGCCTTCTATTCCAATCTCTGCAACATAGCTACCTGGTATGTTCTATGTCTATTTTCCCTCCCTCCCTCTCCCTCCCGCATTTACATTATAAGGATGTCTATTTTTCTATCTTCCCATGTTCTTTGGCGTCCAAAATAGTATATAATGCTTCTTGGAAGTTTGTAGCTAGCACATTGTATATGACATCTAGAGCAAAAACGCTCAAAACACAGCTTAAACCTGTCAATCTTTGATGGACCATTACTCGACAACCAGACTATCAAAACAGTCTGTTTTTTCCATTTAAAACATGTTCTTTGGAGTCCAGAAGTTGAATGGAACCATTGGTTTGGCTGTTGCGTGAGACCTATTTTTTGACTGATAGGGGATCCATAAGAGGTCCGTGAAGATCAAAAAAAAAAAAAAAGTCGATCAAGAGTTTTTGGACTTTGGTGTAGTGACAAAATAAAGATCGTTGCTTGCTGAATCTATTGATAGTAGCTTTGATGCTTAAATATTGAGCAAATGGACAAGGACGTTTACAAGGTTTTTTGCTCACATTTAATGCAAATCATTAGTTATCAAACATCTGCCCATTGTAGCAATTGTACTAAATTAGAACTGTAAATAGATGGTAATATGTTTTGCCTTTCTTCGTCAGAAATATGAGCATACAGAACAAATTCTGTCTATAGAATTTTACTTTGCTCACACAGTGAAGATAAATTCAGTAAATGTTACATTATTTTTGCTGAAGCTAATAAGCGAAATAACGATTACGCGAAACTACTACATCGAATAAAACTGGCTTGGAAAGAGGGCTAACAAAACAGATATACAAAACCTGTCTCATCAAGGTCATTACTTTTTACTTTTTTCAAACTATGACAAACAAACTGTAAGCTTTTTTTTTGTTTTATATATAGACTTTATTTAAAAAAAAAAAAAAAAAAAAAAAAAAAGAAAAAAACCTATAAAAAAAGGAAACAAAAAAAGTGCACTCTTTGCTTCTCATCGCGATACACAAACACTGCTGATTCAAAACCAACGTATGTAAGTGTCTTTGATGATACAACAAGTTGAGAACACCAAAAAAACTGTTAGTAATATAGCCCTGGTACCCTAAGGAACCCGGCCGTATGAAATGGTAAAGCAAGCTCTTGGTAACAGGGACCACCACATCAAGGCAATATGGAACTCATCAAGTCTTACTTATCTAGGGAATAGGAGAAACAAGTTCTTAAACACTTACTGGGCGAAGCCAGTCGAAGCGCCAGAAAAGGATAATAAAAACAAAAAGAGGATGAATAGATACCCAAGGGTATGAGAAATAGCTACAACAACAAGAACACCAAGAGCAACACCAGAAACACCGTTGTAGATAGTACTTAGAAAGAAGCACACCAAAACACCAAAGCAAACAAACTTAGAAAAAAAAAAAGGAAAAAACAAGAGGCGTGTATACCCCCTTCTATTTTATGCGCATATCACAATTTTCAGATTCAGACGAGTGACGAAACATGTAAGATGTTATCTCCGAATGAAATTCCTGGCAGGTTTGGCTTGCTTTTGACTTGCTTTTGACTTAGAGTCTTTGCTTAGAATTGCATCTTTATGCAGTTATTTGGTTCTAGTACAATAACAAAAGCTGTAGATTTATGTCTTCTGAGTCTACTGATCTAGATAACACAACCACTTTGCTGCTGAAATATTGAGCAAATAGACAAAAGTGTTTATGAGGTTTTTCGCACATATCTCATCTTTTTCATAGTATAATCGGCAAACAAATACATTCATCAAAAAACTAGAGCCTTTAGCGCACATTCTGCGTATCTAGTAGCGTTGGTATCTTTATTTTTCGTCTCGTAGCGTCAAAAATAAGATCAAGAGTTTTTTTTTTTTTTTTTTTTTTTTTTTTTTTTTTTTAAATGTGTTTATTGATTGAGATCAAGAGTTTTCAAAATGACGATTTTCATGAATAGTACCCTTTGGTCAGAAGGTATATTTTGGCCATTTTTCGCAAGTCGCTTTTTTTTTTTTTGCTCAAATCAACACCAAAAATATCCTATATGCTAGTAAACATGGCTTATAGGCATTTAGAGTACTTGTGCATATATAAAAAGGCTTTATACTCGATTCATATGCATATATTTTTATAGAGGAGATGCAACAATTTTGAAAGGTACAATGTACATTATATTATATAATGAAGTTAACGATACTTTGCGCTAAAAAAAATGATTCTTTGTATGCACGAAGAACACCCTTATAACATTCTTCTTGTTTTTTGAGCATCCCTTTGGCTGATGTTTATTATGTCTTTTGAAATGTATGCACTCTTTTGAGCCAGATGTTATTTTTTTTTTTTTTTTTTTTACTGTTTCTTCAATCAATCTCAACTTTTTTCTTGTTTTTTGTGTTCCTCCATCAACTTATGAAACTCTTCTTCTTCTTGTGATGGGAAGTAGCAGAAAATGACAAAAATTAACAGAAAGAATTGTTTTCAAAAAGCAACACAGATAATCCATGCCACATAGACACAAATATGACCTTCATTGCACAATGCTTGCATCTTTCTAATTGATTATTCAGCAGTGAAAAAGAAAAATTATGCGATTTCTTCTCGATTTTAGACAAAAAGTAAAACTAGTTGTTACAAAAAAAAAAGAGAAATATATTTTTTGAAACCTTCCATTTGCTTGATAGAATAAAAGAAGTTCTTCTAATATAGATGGCATTTAGAGCTTACATAACATTACAGTTGGCTTATTTTTGTCTATCTTTCTTTTTCTTTGCCTTTATCTTTTCTCTTCTTCCTCTCTCTTTCTTTTTGTTTTACTGAAATAAATACGATGGACAATAATTTATCTCAAACGAATTGTTATTCGAGAATCCAGCTTTTCGATGGTGTAACGGAATCATTTCTTCGCTTTGACGATTGGGTTGCTCAAGAGCTACGTCGGATTTCCCTTCATCAATCATCTCGTAATTGCGCTAACTTTGAAGCGCTTTTGACAGTGATTGAAAGCACAAGTCATGCTGGCCAATATTCAATGTATAGTGCCCATGCATCTGGGCTATCATCAATTGAAACAGAAAAAATAACAAGGTCCAAATCAACACATTTGGAGATTTGGAAGACAGCATATCTATAGAAAGACCTGAGCATGTCTTGACACAAATAGCCTTATTCAAGCGTTTATCAAGCTCATCAATGACTGTCAGTACGAGTCATTTCAGTCACTTTTGAAACATCATAGTAAGCCTTTGAAACTACTGATTGAGCTAAAAAACGCGTCTGAAATGGTTTCGTTATGGAAAAATGCAGACCGTCAAAAATCAAATCAAGAACAAGAAATGATTACCGATGTGAAAGTTAAATTAGCCCAAGCACTGTTCAACAATCATGCTTCCCTCTTGAACTCCTGGATAGCAATAGGTCTATGGGTGCAACAAGGCCATTTTGTTTTAGACCAAAAGTCAGGATGGAAATGGCTAGAGTTTGGAACAGTTTCATATTTGATTGTCAAAAGGATGTGTAACATTTAAATAGAAGCCTGCATTATATCTTGTCCAATCATTTTATTACATAACGACCTGACTTTTTCTCATTGTGTATTGATTGGGTACCCCCATATTATCAGATGGAAAAAACATCACGTGAGACTATCATCATATATACTTTGCTGGTAATTAAATCTTGTATACACAATTTGGGGCATAGACATTTATTTTATTTTTCTTTCTTTTCTCTTTTCATTTTTCTCTTTAAAAGAAAAAAGAAAGCAATATGGGTATAGCTGTCCTTTTTTTTTTTTTTTTTTTTGAAAGGTGTTTAATAAGTTTGTGATAGACTTTGTTTCTTCAGCCAGCTCGAGTACAAGTTCTCTGCCTGCTCAAAAACGAGCCAAAATTTCAGATACCGTTTATGAACCGAAAAAGCTGACAGCCAATTCCCCTTTGCTTCCTGCTAGTATCAATGTAGAAAGTTTTGATTTCGGTATTAACGAAGTAAGTATAATGTTTAAGCAAAATCCTACTTAGTTAAAATTAGCCTCCTTTGGATAGACCTGTTCGTATTTACTGTGATGGCATTTATGACTTGTTTCATTTTGGACATGCAAAAGCACTTGAGCAAGCCAAGAAATCCTTTCCTGAGGTTTATTTACTTGTTGGAGGTAACATGAAGGATACATGTTCCTCATTTAACATTCTGTAGTCTGCAGTGATCTCGAGACACATAAACGTAAAGGCAAGACAGTCATGACTGATATTGAAAGATATGAGGCTGTTCGTCATTGTAAATGGGTGGATGAAGTTGTTCCTGATGCACCATGGTTTGTGACGGAAGAGTTTCTCAATAAACATCAAATTGATTATGTAGCACATGACGCAGAACCCTATCAATCCACTGAGTCAGGCGATGTGTATGCATTTGTCAAAGCCCAAGGTCGTTTCTTACCAACACAACGTACGGCTGGTATTTCCACTTCCGATTTGATCACCCGTATTGTGCGTGACTATGACGCCTATCTTCGAAGAAACCTAGAGCGAGGTGTTTCTGCTAAAGAACTGAATATTTCGTTTTTAAAAGAAACAGAAATCAAGACAAAGAAGTCGATTGATGATCTCAAGAATCAACTTAAAAGTGCTGTTCTAGAGCACTTGGGTACATGGGAAGATCAAAGCCATGAATTTATCAAGAGCTTTGCTGGCCGCTTTGGCGCAGAGACTGTAGTGGTAAGCGAAAAATCATGCTTTCATGTTGACTGATTGCATCTAGGAAAAATTTTTAAACAAACGTCGACTTGTTGTTGGTGGGAAAAGATCACGTAGCCCGAGTTCTCAAGAGATTATTTCCTCAAGAAGTAGCAGTGCCAGTAGCACTAGTTCTACACCACTTTAAGTTCGATATATAGTCATATTATACCTCTTTAAAAAAACAATAATTTTTATTGGTATTCTCGCTTACAATCTGTTTTCTTTTCTTTTCAACATGATTTGAGTGTATATATCGATAGGAGGTGAAAAATAGGTGTGGCATGTCGTATCGTTTAAAAAAAAAGGTGTATGTTGGTTCATGTATCGAGAAAATTATAGAGAAAAAAGAATAGATATTTTGCTTAGACCCACAACTTGCTGATAAATTCAGTAAGGCCAATATCGTTTGTGTTGAATTGGTAGCAACCAACAAGAACACCGGCAGTGCTGAGATATAAAGTACCCTTCATCAACTTGTTCAAAAGAACACCCTTACGAGGATTGAAATAATCTAAAAAGGAGTTGCATATATAAAATTAGAGAACAGATCTTTACCCCGCACTTTTCTTCTTACCAGTGATACAAGCATCGAAACCTTTATATAGAAGAAAGAGAAAAGAAAAGAAATATGAGTATCGTACATGATATAAGGATTGCTTACCAATGTGAAGGTGAAGAGGAAGAACAACACCTAAAAGAGTATCGGTGATAGGAGAAGCACCGTAAGCGAGTTGTGCACCAATGATAGGAACAAGAGCAACAGAGGCAGCACGTTCAATATCCCAATGGTAAGAACCATGAAGACGGTCAGGCTTAGGAGTAGAAATAGTGTTGTTTTGGGCGACAGCTAGAGATGGAAGATGAATTAGGTAAAACAATTCAAATGAAAAGTAGCTTACAAGAGTGAATCTTGACAAGGCCCATAGGTTGTTGACGCACCATAACGCGTGCAGTAGAGCGAAGAGCAGGAGTAGTAGCGAGACGAAGAGCCATTTTTTGAAAGAGTGGGGAAGAAGTTAGTTGACTGTAAGGTAACGAAATAAAAGAAAGGCACAGCAGCTTTTGAGCGTATAACCCTTGATCGTTTCTTCACACCGATCGGGCAGTTCCGCTTATACTTTGATGACGCAGTCCGAAATCTCAATGTTACATGTGAATTTTTTCGTGAATCCGGGGTAAATGATCAAGCGCGTACCATTGAATTCATGCAAAGTGGCTTCCAACCACGGATAAACATGGTATAGCAGTGACAAGATTATTCCTTAGCAACGTAGTAGAAATTGAAGATTGCCTAGCAACCATCTTATCCAATCAAAATCAACATGTACCTTGAACCTGAATAAGCAAAGAAAATTTCTCTTTTTTTTATTTATTTTTTTTTTACAAACAAAACAAAATGGATATGTCTCGAAAAGAATTTGAAGCAGAGAAAAGAAAGCTTATGGATAAAATCCTTGTCAGTGTTCGACAGCTTAAACTTACTATGGAAACTTTCAATCGCAACATGGAAACTGCCAGCAGATTAGGAAAGCAATTCAAACCACCTGCAGAAGTTTGGTCCGCATTTCATAAAGCAGTACAGAACAATCATGTTGTGGAAGAAGGCGCGGAAAGCGAAAATGAGTATCAAGGCGAAGAACCAAGCAGTCCATCGCGACTTGACTTAAACATACAATCTAGAAAAGAAAAAGTATAGATCGCCCATACCATTGATAAACTGTAAATAATAAAGCCAATAGAATTGAATAGAACGCACTTTTTTTTTTGTCTTTTTTTTTTTCCTTCATTGTATAGCTTCAAATCAATGTAAGTAATCTAGGGGGCAATAATGTACACGATATTTATTTATTTATCTAGATTTTAGCTTGAAGCATCATTTTAACAACCTTGACTTGAGTGTATTCTTGAAGAGCATATTTACCCAGTTCTTTACCAAAACCAGATTGCTTATAACCACCAAAAGGCGTCGATTGATCAAAGACATCATAACAATTGATCCACATAGTGCCCGCTTTCACTTCATTCGTAACGAGAATGGCATTATCTAAATCCTTTGTGTATACACCACCAGCTAAACCATAGTCAGAGTCATTAGCGAGATCGATCGCTTCTTCAATTGTCTTGAATGTACCAATAGCAACCACAGGTCCGAAGATTTCTTCACGCATGACACGCATGTTATTGTGGCAATGGATGAGTACAGTGGGTTCAATATAATAGCCAACATTGCCCCAACGCTTCCCACCATAAGCAACCTTAGCACCTTCTTTTTTACCAATATCGATATAACTCAGGATCTTTTCAAACTGACTTTTGTTAATTTGAGGACCTTGGAAAGTGTCTTCATCAAAGGGATCACCGATCTTGATCTTTTTCGTCTCGGCAATGAACAGTTCAACAAACTTGTCATGAACAGATTCATGAACAAAGATACGAGAACCAGCATTGCAACTCTGACCATGGTTGTTAAAGATACCACCACAAGCCCAATAAGCTGCATTTTCAAGATCAGCATCAGCACACACAATCTGAGCAGATTTGCCTCCTAACTCAAGCTGAAGTTTCTTAATATTGCTACCTGCACTTGCTTCCATGATCTTTCTGCCTGTGAATGTGGAACCAGTGAAGGCCATCTTGCTAACTTTGGGATGGCCACTCAAATAGTTGCCAGTTGTGTGACCATAACCCGTAATGACATTAACAACACCCTAATAATAAACATGTAAGTGACTCGCTGGTTGAAATAGGATGTCCACTTACAGCAGGGAAACCAGCTTCTTTTACAAGTTCACCAAATTTGAGTGTAGATAAAGGAGTGACTTCAGAAGACTTCATGACGACTAAATAAGATGCACTCATTAATTCAATTGTCCTTTACATAAAAAGAACTTACTTGTGTTACCGGTTGCTAATGCAGGAGCAAATTTCCAAGCAGCCATCATGGTAGGGTAATTCCAAGGAATCACAGCACCCACAACACCAAGCGCTTCATGGCGAGTATAGCACATTTTATCAAAAGTAGTATCAATCGTCTTTCCATGAATTTTATCTGCCCAACCAGCAAAATAACGATAACAAGCAATCGAATCAGTCACATCCACATCTCGAGCAACAACAAAGGATTTACCATTGTCAACAGCATCTAAAGTAGCAAGTTCGTCTTTGTCACGTTCCATTAAATCAGCCAACTTGTTAAGAAGACGACCACGTTCAGCAGGAGCCACTTTGCGCCATGTCTTGTAATAACAATTGTATGCGGCTTCCACAGCACGGTTTACATCATTCTCATCTGCAGAATGTACTTTACAAATCACTTGTTCATTAGCAGGATTGATAGTATCAATAAGGGGACCATGGCCAGCAACAAATTCATTATTAATAAAGAGTTGTGTATGGGCTATTGATACATGTTAGAAGGTATATACACTATTTTTCTTATACCTTGAATGGATTTTCCATTTGTTAAACGAATTGTCTGAAGATCAGCTTGAGTCATAATTAAAGAAAAAAAAAGAGTGAAAGATGGATTATCTCAAGTTCCTTTTTCATTTTTATAGTTGATAGGGATTGAACTTTTCTCACATGAGTCACATTTCCATAATATCTTCTTTTCTCGGTTTAAATCACACTTTTCATGCATATGTTTCAATAGCCAAGAATCTCCATGAGACGTTGCTTTCATAAATAACACTTTATACTATGATTTCTTTGTTATCATTTTCTCACTTTTTTAAGTTCTGACTAATCTTGACCTTTTAAATTGAATTCGGAATTTTCTACTCGTCTATAAACAGAAATTTCCAACTTCTACGTGTGAAGACAGGCATAATGACAAATACACGTTACACAGATGACAATTAACGTTGCCTATTTAGGAATGCTCATACTCGAACTGTTGCTGTAGTGAAGATTAGCTCTACACCACAGCGCAAGCGATGGAAGAACTATGCACTCAAAATTGGAATATTCTGACCAAATATTCACTGAAAATTGGAATATTCCTTTCAACATTGGAGGATTTCTTCCATCAGAACCGACAGCATCACCAACTCTAGCTCTTTATTCTGGCAGTAATTAGACTAAAACATGACTAGTATAGCTTAGCTTCACTTAAAATAGCTTTAGTATTGGATGAGATTGGATGGTGTGGTCAAATAAGATTTTATTTATAATAAATGGTTATTCATAAAAATGATATATGAACAGCAGTGAAGGCGACTCATATGATGTAAAAAGCATCAAAATCTAATACTCAATTCAAAAACCAGCTACAATCGAACGTTTCTTTAGTGACATGAAGTATATAATTTACTGACTATAGGAAACAAGCTTGACCACATGCACTATAATATATTCAAAGGCTAAATCTTCATTTTATGCCTATGATAGGCATACCAAGTCCATGCAAAGTATTAACTCACAACTATCAAAAGACAGCCTAAAGGAAAGAAAAGTTAGCCTTTATGCTTGAATACAATACCTATCGATCATATATTTACCTTCAACAAAAGCCCCATAAACTTATCCATAATTATCACACTTTTCGAGCATAAAGCGCGACTACTTTTTTCTTAGAATACAAGTACTTTATTAAGGAATCAGAAAAGTACATACGTGACATTGTGTGTTGATTTACTTTTTGTCTATTTATCAACTATTAGATACACATAATAAAAAAAGTGTTATTTAATCTGTTTTTAAGAATATATCTCTGATCTCATATCCTTCTAGAACCCTCTTTATATCACAAATAAATCTATATAAGCTTATTTTTTTGGGAGAGTAAATAAATTTGTATTGCTCTTTCTTTCCTATTGCTTTCATCTGAATATCAACTATCACAATGACTCTGTTACAATCACTCCCAGATATGTATCGTGGGTCTACTATTCCATTCTTGAGTAAAAGATGGCATAACTCGGCGTCTATAGATCCCAATGTAGACGTCCAAACATTAAGTGGTACAATGAATTACTTGGTGCTTTACACCCATATTAGAGTAATGCGCCAAGTGTGTATCGAAATTGAAATCTACTTGTCGTCCTATGCACCAATGTTGGAGTAATGCTCCAAAAGTTTAGCGGCAGTGAAAAAGATTCTGTTGCTTCCTTGTATGGCCAATGCAACAATGATGGCAAAATCAAGAATCTTTCTACTGATCTGATCAACCTGTTTGGCGACCGTACTGAAATACTCATCACTGAAAACATGGAATTGAACAACCGTATCCTGAAGAACATGGCTACGATAATGCTATTGGATATCTCCAAGGCAAATGAAACGGTGGTCATCAATATTCAAAAACGATTGTGTGCATATTGATCCATGTTACCTAATTGCCCCTTTTTTTTCACGTAATTCATATCCATCATCCTTATTCTATTATTATCCCCGTTTTTAACTTATTACCGTCCATCATTTTTTTGACATGATTCTTATGCTCACTATGTTTTCTATAGCATCCATTTAGCCACTACTATATGTTTTATTAGCATATCTTCACAGATAAAAAGATTGTGCACCTCTTTTTTTTTTATTGCATTGGTTTACAAGATGTTACCCTCTACCGCAAGTCCAAAAAGCGATATATCTTGGGCAATGGCATATGCATTTATTTCCCAAAAATAGGTGAGGCATGATCTACCTATGGCTTCAGATCAAAATTGTTCAATGCCGGTTGTAGCTAATTAATGACTAGCTACATTTGCTGCTTTTTTAAGATGCGACACACTCTTTTTTAAAAGTGTACGACATCATTTTGGCAAAAATTGTATCTCGTATATACTGCCATCTTTGACCAAGGTTACTGCCAAATTCAGTAAGTTTTTTTTTGCCAATAAAAAATAAAATGTTCTGCCAAATTTGCTGAAAAATCCATTTTTCAAGTTGCTTGTGGATACATGCAAACCTGAGTTTTCTTGCTAATCAACGTCACAATAAGCTAAACTAAATGCCTCCTTTTCTCTTTTTTACTTCTCTTGCAACTCTTGAATATGTCTAACTTTGTAAGTTATCATTTGTTGTCTATACCCCCAAAGACTTATTTTATAGAACGACGATTTATCGAGTATGCTACCTAAATCATTTGGGCAAAAATCAAAGCCAGAGAAGATTAACGAACCCAATGATTGGGATGCTTTGCGCGCCTTTATGCCTACTTCTTTTGGCAAACAACAACAAAAGCGCGATCTTACAGAAGACTATAACAAGACAAAGCGAGAGGTAGTATTGTTGATTCGTCTTTTTTTCTGACTTGTTGGATAGACTACAAAAGAACAACCAAAGACACCTGAGAAAAAGCCAGAAATCATGACAGATCAATCAGTCGATGAGAGTGACGATGATATGGATTCAGAAGATGAAAGCTCCTTTCATGTAATTCCAACCTCCCATGAGATCAAGTTGAATGACCATAATCGTACCGTGTCTTCCTTGACGCTTGATCCTTCTGGCACACGTCTTATTACAGGAAGTTATGATTACGATCTCAAGTTTTGGGATTTTGCAGGCATGGATCGATCCTTCAAGCCTTTCCGCACCATTCAACCATGTGGAGAACATCAGATTCATAAAGTACAGTATTCATTATCAGGTGATTCTGTGCTTGTCATCTCTGGTAGTGCACGCGCGAAGATATTTGATCGTGATGGTACGGAGATCTGTGAATATGCCAAGGGTGATCCTTATATTCGTGACCTCAAACATACAGACGGTCATGTAGGCGCATTAACAAGTGGGTCATGGCATCCTTCCGATAAACAAGTCTTTGCTACAGGTTCGCAAGATGGTACTATTCGTGAATGGGATATAGAACGCAAACGAAAACAAAAGACAACGCTTGTTTACAAGTCTCGGGAGCGAGGTGGAAGATCTTCTTGTACTGCTTTGGCTTATAGTCATGATGCCAAACACTTGGCTGGTGCGTACCAAGATGGTACCTTACAAATCTGGGGAACGACTGGGTCACAAATGAGGCCTGCTATCTCCATTCCTGATGCACATCAAAAGGGCACAGAAACATCAGGCATTGTGTTTTCTAAAGACAATCATACCATGGTCACTCGAGGAGGTGATGAATCTGTCAAATGTAAGTCACACTGTATGTCCTTTTTCATGTGCTTATAGTATGATCTAGTATGGGATTTAAGAAATGCAAAGAAACCAGTCAAGACAGCCTATAACCTTGACATTGTAAATCCTGAAGTGAATGTCATATTCAGTCCTGATGAAAAGCTTATTTTGACTGGCACTGCTTGTCCAAAGGGTCAAGGTCATGGCCAATTAGTCATGTTGAATAGAGATACACTTGAAGTCCATGAGTCAATAAGTAAGTAAAGAACGGGCATGAATATTAGGCATTGACGTCTGGTTTAGATGTCACTCAATCAAGTGTTGTCAGTGTATTATGGCATCCTCGTATCAATCAGATCATGACTGGCAGTGCTGATGGCATTGTGACAGTGTTCTATAGTCCTACTCATTCTCAACGCGGTGCTAAGCTATGCGTTACGAAAGCGCCCAAGAAGCGTGCTGTGGACGACTATCAGTCTACTGGACCTATTCTTACTCCTCATGCCTTACCTATGTTTAAGGAAGGAGAACAGAGAATTAGCAAGAGAAAGAGAGAAAAGATGCGTTTGGATCCTGTCAAATCTCATCGTCCAGGTATAGTCTTTCTCAACAATGTTACATGTTATTTATAAGCTATTAGATTTGCCTGTCAATGGTCACGGTAGAGGTGGTAGAGTTGGTATGAATCAACAACAAGCCGTTATCAAATCATTTGCCAAAGATACCACAAGAGATGAAGATCCTCGTGAAGCTCTTTTGAAATATGCAGAAGTTGCTGAAAATGACCCTCAATGGGTTGGCAATGGTAAGTGTTTTATTGGCTAAATCCTATTGAGCTCATTGTTTTTTTTCGGTAGTATATAAAAAGACACAACCAAAGCCTGTATTTGAGGATGAGCAAGAGGAAGAAGAAACCTAGTTTAATAAAAGGTTATTGCTTTGAAGCATTTTTTGATTCCTGAAGAGCAATCTTTTCTTCCAATTTCTTTACGCGAGCTTCAAGCTTTTCAATAGTCTCTTTTTGAGCAGTAACTTGACTTTGTGCGTCATTGCTACTTCCAGAACGCAGAGCATGTAATTTACGGCTAATAAAGGTCTGTTCGTCCTTGGAATACATGAATCGAGTGCCTTCAATAGCTCCGTATGTAGAAGTAGCATTCAATTGAACAAGGCCTGCAACAGCTGTCATTCGAACAGAGGCATTAGGATCACGGATCAAGGTTTCTATGACACAGTAGTTAGAATCGAACAAAAATAACAGCGACTTACCAAGCATTTCAATGGCTTCTTTCTTTAGGCGATCAGATTGCCATTGAGCAGAAACAATCAAACCTTGAATGGCAGTAGGTCTAGCACGAAGAGGCTCCTTATTATAACCAACACGATTCAACAAATACTTGAAGCCTTCTTCACTACGATGCACACCCAAAGCTATTAAACAATCAGTTAACTGATATTAGCCATTTCTTTTTCTTACCCTTAAGTGCACCACCACGAACAAAACCATGTTGGCCGAGCTTAGCATCATCTTTAGCCACTTGCAAAAGGTATTCCAAATCTTCTGGGTTTCTTTGTCGACCAAGGGAAATCAAGGCATTAGCATGAGCGTGATAAGGAAGATGCTTTCTCTCGAGTAAGTTGAGTAAAGAGTTTCTCAGTTGATCATCAGCAATAGCAGCAGCAGCAGCAATGGAAGAAAGAGCTAGAGGGTCTTTTTCATTGTCTAACAATTCAGACAAGATTTGAAGACTGTAAGTGCTGTTTAATTTGGCGAGGCTATTGGCACCTATATCAAGCAAATAAGTATCTTATGCAAACTATAGACACTTACATTGAACTCTTACACCATAGAAAGGTTCCTTTAGGATAGCTTCATGAACTGCCTTTAAAGCAGGTCTTGTACCACTCTTGACTAATTCGCCATAAGCCATAATACGATCCATCAAGTTATCACTGTTTTTGGCAGTTCCGATCAAGACATCTCTATCAATGGAAGGCATTTCGATCACAAACAAGACTTTGCCTTCGGGATCAATAGAGATCTGACTAGGCTTTTGGCCTTCAGGCAAAGAAAGGAAACCAGTTACTGATTCTTCTTGATCAAATGTGAGTACAGTAGAGATCTTCTTGTTATCATTTGTGGTGATCACAACATCCAAATCAAAGGCAAAAAGAGGAATTTGCTCAGCAGCATTGACTTGAGTTTGAGTCATAATGACCTTAACACGATTAGCATCTGCATCGTACTCGTATTTACCATTGAGTTTAGGATAGCCCTTAGAATAGAGCCATTCATCAAAGAAGCGAGCCAAGTTGAGACCTGAGGCTTCTTCTAAGACGTTTTGGAAGTCAGAAGTCTGTACAGTCTTGTTGTAGAAGCGTTCAATGTAAGTCTTGATAGCACTCCAAAAGACCTCTTCACCTAAACGTTTACGAAGCATATGAATACGCCATGCGCCGCCAGGATAAGTGTGTCTGTCAAACATGTCCCATGAAGCATCGTATTTACGAGTCACGATGGGGCGCTAGAAAATACATGCAATTACTAAAAATATAAGCTTTTTCTCTTTCTTTACCATGTAGGAACTGCATTCTGCAATATAGTTTGAAGCATTCTTGAACATTTCATAACGGAATGAATCTTCTGATCGATTGTCTTGTAGCCAACCTAAATATCAATGTCATTGTGAATAGACAGCTTTTATCTCTTTAACTAATTTTTATCATCACTTACATGATTCAATATATTTTGCCCAACCTTCCTTTAACCAAACATGATCAAAATGACGAATCACCAACAAATCGCCAAAGTATGTGTGGCCTAGATAAAATTCATAAGTATAACTTTGTTTTTAATCCTCATAGTTTACCCATTTCGTGAATGTTGACAGTATCGACAATGCTCTTTCTTTCAAGAGCATGCGTTTCATCAAGAAGCAAGTGCTCAACCCAAGTAACTAAAGAGATATTCTCCATAGCTCCACGAATGGCCGGCAAAACAATTTGATAATATTTACTCCAAGGGACTAGCCAGAGAATTTCAGTATGTGTGTTCTAATATGATATATGTCATACTTACATGGAACACCAACCTTCTTTTGAAGCCATTTAATCATATTGGGCGTCTCATCAAAAGCTCTCTTAAGATCTTGTTTTTCATATCCCTTGGCAGTATAATACTGAATGCATTGTTTAAGCAACTATGGGTTATTATGCTTTTTTTTTGTACGTACCTTGATTGGCTTTCCATCTACTTCACCATCGTCCACTTCAATGAACTCACCTACTGCAAAGCAAATAAGGTAGGAGGGGCTTTTTTTTCGGTTGTGTTAATCATTTCAAATTGCACACTATTGTTCCTTACCAAGGATGGTCCAGTTCCCATTGAGTCGTCGTGTATTTACCAGTCGTTTCTGAGCTTTTTAAAGTACCATTCGCCAAAGAAGTGTATTGCTGGGGAGCTGTAATTGACCATGTCAAGGTAGTACGAACAGTAGGGAAATCAACAGTAGGTAACCAGTGACGGGCTCTATAAATACATGGTCAGCTTTTTATTTCCCAAATAAACCAAACGACTTACTTTTCTGTTTCGTGATCCGTAATAGCCCAAGCAGGAGTAGCATGGAGCATCTCATCATTTTTGTTGAAATAAAGACCTGCAATAGGCTTTTCGATCGTGTATTCAATAGTCGCCTTGCGCTCACTTTGCTTTGTAAAGGGCTCTTTCCAGTACAAATGGATAAGATGACCATCATAATAAAAGTCGGATAAACCTTCACCAGTCACTTTGACATGCTCGAAATCTTCGGCATTCAATGCAATGCTCGATAACTCCTTGTTATTAGCCACCAGTCCTTCACCTGTATGCTTAAAAGTGATTGTGACCTTGCCTTCAAAAGACTTGGTAGAAAGGTCTTGAAATTTGAGATTGATATCTAAAAACAATCGTTTATATTCATTTTATTGACTTTAACGCGTATTTTACCAAGGTGAACAGGTTCAATAACCTTGCTTGGAGCATATTGATTCTTTGCCGTAGCAGAGAAGAAAGAGCCACCGCTATATCTTGCACAACAAATATGATGAGGCATATTCTGCTAGAATAAGAAAGAAAAGAATAAAAACGAATCTCACGAATTACTCTATCATTTTGACGATACACAAACAAACGTTGCGCTACTTTTCATATTTGGTAATTTTTTCTTCTAAAAGTTATGCTCCTATTTCTAAAGTCAACATGGCTTGACTCCATTGTTTGTTGCGTGTATTTTAAACTCAGTATACCTGGTCATCCACCTTGTAGGCAGTAGTTCAAACTCCAGATTACTTAGGGACCATCTCCCATCGGACATGTTCAAACCGAAATTCTCAAACCGAAATCCGCAGAGTATCGGGTCGAGAGGGCATAGTTCATATTACTATGGCAGTCCTGAAGAAAATATAAAATGCATCAATGTAATGGCGAACACTCTGTCCTAGTCTGAAAAGAAACATTTTGAGAATATAACTGTTGTTAGTATTTTAGTGTCTCGATTCTTTTTATGCTGTTCTATAATGTCCTATCTTAACACAAATAACTATTTAACTTTGATTAACAAACTACTTTGTGATAAACAACAAAAAGCCTGTTTATTGTTATAAAATGATCTGCTGAAAATAATGTTAAATGTCAGGTAATGGTAAGTCTAATCTAGATAAAAAAGAAACATGTTCAAAACCTGTGAAAACTTTCACCCCTTTAAAAATTCTATGTGCTACTTTTTGTCCGTTATTATTGTAGGGTACTGGTGATACTTCGAGACCTTCTGTATAACAGATTCACCGTTAACAAGTCATTTGAGTCTGAAATCATGCAAGTATGTGTAACTAAGTACGCTTGACGCTATTGTGACTGTCGCTTCTTTTACGGCCTATCAAAACTTTTCTGCATATACTTTTTTTTTTTTTTTTTTTTTTTTTACTGTGCTCGTCATGCCAGAACAAAAGAGTTCGTTAAAGTCTATCTTTAAAGCACCACCACCACCTATTCGGGATTTGGTGTTGAGTGAAATGGAAAACAGTCTTATAAAAGACAAAGCAAAACCCAATGATGCTTCGTTCGATGTTATGGCACTTCTCTCTAAAATCAAGAACAAACCGATGGAATCTCGACATACACCTGTATCACCTGAATCTATAGCAGCATCCTCACCATCCAAATTAGACACAAAAGCTTCCTCTATGTTATCTTTTTTAGACCAATATCATGCATCTTATACACAAAACATCAAACTGGAAACACATACACTCATAAATCATGCTATACCACATCACCAAGACGTTCATGAACCACCTAAACAACAGCAACAATCACAACAGCAACAATCACAACAGCAACAATCACAACAGCAACAATCACAACAGCAACAACCACAAAAGCCTAAAGGACACAAACTTTCACCTTATCATGCTGAAGAATCCAAGAAACCCAAAAATAAAAAAAGAAAAAGACACGTCAGATAAAAAAGAAGAATGCTCATCAGGCTACATTGGCTCATTTGGATCGAGCAAAACCAAGAACAGAAACAGACGATTTTGATGCCTTGTTGTCGAATTATACACAAGCAACAATCAGTCAAACAGCAGAAACAAAACCAGACATAAAACAACCTAAACCACTCACAAAAAAGACAACTAACCCAAAGAAGCGTGCCCATGATGAACCCTTAGAAAATAAAAATAAGCAACCCAAAACGTTTGTTCCCAAGGTTCCCTGTAAATTTTATATGCAAGGCCTTTGCAAAGAGGTAAATAGATATTGTTTGTTATAATACTCATCCTATAGGCTGATAAATGTACATTTAAACATGATCCAAGTACAGTCGTGGCACCGCCTATACCTAAGAAATCAAAAATCGTTTGCCAATTCTTCAAGACAGGTTCCTGTAGTAAATTTGAAGACTGTGAATTCTCGCATGTAAGTAGTAAAGAAGCATGTCAAACAATCTATTTATTCTGTCTATAGGATTTGTCTATAGAACCGTGTCGATTTTATTTTTTGAATGGAAAGTGTAACAACAACGCATGTCCATATTCGCATGCACCATTGACTGAAAAGACAAGGCAAATGCTTCAATCCTTGACAGGTCCTTGTCGATTTTATTTCCTTAAAGGGTTTTGTAATAATGGTGATTTATGCAATTTCAGCCACGATACATGTTCAGAACAAGATAGAATACGCTTAGAACAAGAAATCACACCTTGCAAGTATTATTTCTCTACAGGCCATTGTCCAAAAGGTGATGATTGCTTTTATGGACATGAAGAAGTACGTGATAAAGTGAAATAAAAAAAAAACCCCCCACCCTTTTAAATGTCCGATAAAGCCAGTCTCTTTTATTTCTTTTTTTTTTTTTTTTTTTATCTTTCCTAGCATACAACAAGTAAATGACACGTCGATTGAGTTAAATACACAAACTAACTCTTTCTTTAGTGGACACAACAAGCCAACCAGAAGACACCAAGAGACCTCGCGAAGAAGATACTGAAGAAAAGAAAGACACAGAACAACCCACCAACAAACCTCGACCTGAACAACGCAAACCACAGTATGAACTTAAATATTCTCTTGTGGGACACCGTATGTCTGTCTCTAGTGTCAAGTTTTCACCCGACGGCAAATGGCTTGCTAGTTGCTGTAAGTATACAAAAAGATACAGACATCAGATCATTGATCTTGTTAGCTGCTGACAAGACCATCAAGATTTGGCATGCATTAGATGGTAAATATGAAGCCACATTGGAAGGACATACACAAGGCATTTCAGATGTTGCTTGGTCGTCTGATTCACAAAATCTTTGTTCTGCTTCAGACGACAGAACCATTCGTATCTGGAGTCTTGCTACTGTAAGTATATACGACTTGTTTTGTTTTACTTATCATATCATAGCGCGAAGCTGTTAAGGTATTAAAAGGACATTCAAATTATGTCTTTTGTGTGAATTATAACCCACAATCCAATTTGATTGTCTCTGGTTCTTTTGATGAGAGTATCAAGATATGGGATGTCAAGAAAGGTAATACGATTCTATCAACCTTGGCCATGATTGACATTCAAAATAGGCAAATGTATGAAGACATTACCAGCTCATTCAGATCCAGTTTCAGCAGTCCATTTCAACAGAGATGGTACAATGATTGTTAGTTGCAGTCATGATGGATTAATGTAAGTATATGACTGACATAGATAAGACGATTGATACTTTGTCTATAGTCGTATTTGGGACACTGCTAGTGGACAATGTTTGAAGACATTGGTTGATGATGATAATCCACCTGTGTAAGTAACGCAAGAAGCTATTTTTATATATCTTACTGTCCTTAGCTCATTCGTCAAATTCTCGCCTAACGGTAAATATATACTTGCTTCCACATTAGACAACACATTACGACTATGGAATTATCATACTGGAAAATGTCTCAAGACATACCGAGGCCATGAGAATAGCAAATACTGTATCTTTGCTAGTTTTAGTGTGACAGGTGGTAAATGGATTGTGAGTGGCAGTGAAGATCAGAATATATACATTTGGAATTTACAGACCAAGGAAATTGTACAAAAACTAGAAGGCCATTCTGATGTTGTTCTTTGTATTGCTTGTCATCCTACAATGAACATCATTGCTTCTGGTTCAATTGATCAAGATAAATCAGTTAAACTTTGGTTTGATAAATCACAACCCACAGCTTAATAATAAACAAAGAAGAGGAAGAGGGGAGGGGGTATTTATTTCTTATTTTGTTGTGTGGACCACCATTTAAAGAAACCGCGGTTATTGTTGTTATTGGCTTTTTCAGGTATATGATCAAAATCAATACTTTTACGAGATAGACCATCAATGCTCTTCTTGGCCAATTGAGATAGACTATCTAAACTTGGTCTAAAATCAAGGCTATTTCTTCCTTTCTCAAGTGAAGGACGCCCTGTTGGATAATAAGCATCAATTGATTTTCTGGTTGAAGTAGGATTCCACCAAGACTTTTTGGTTTCTTCTTCTTCAGGTTCATCATCCACAGGGATCACATTGGATTCATCATCTTGTGTTGATAAAGTATTGGCTGCCATGGCATTCATCAGTGCAGTAGCACGTAAATGGTGGCCATCTGTTGAACTTGATCGTTTCAGTGGTTGTGGTTCTGCTGTTTCTTCATTGGGTGATGGTAAACCATACGCTCTTCTTTCTAGTGAAGCTAAATAGTTTTCATCATCATAACGATTGACAACGCCATAACTATACCAATCTTCTTTGTTGTCTATGGGTAACGTGGATATATCTGGTATCGTAAGTGATTCAAACACACTCGGTAAACTAGGTCGACGTAATCTTTCTCGTTTTTGATAAAGAGAGGCATCCATGGATCTTCTGCTGATTTCTGCTTCAGGTACATTATTCTGGCCTTCCTGTAATCCTTTCAACATGATCTGCATGGATCCAAATGTCTCTAATAACTTGACTATTTCTGTATGATGCTTAGCAGCAGCCACATCAATAGGGCGTGAACCATATTTATCTCTGACATTGATTTTAGCTCCATTTCTTAGTAACAAATCGACTATTTTTGTACATCCATTTGCACAGGCAACATGAAGTGCTGTAGAGCCTGTTGCACCTGCCACTGCTTGTGATTTATCTGTACTGTGTTTCTTGGACCATCTAAACACAGAAAGTGAGTGGTTATTATGCTGCTTATATACATACCTCTGAGCATTGACATCAGCACCTCGATCAATGAGATACTGTACGACTGCAATATGATTCTCATTAATACAGGCAAGTTGTAAAGGCATATATCCGTTTACAACAGAATCAATGGCTGCACCATGGTCAAGTGCAAATTTGACAAGACCTAGAGATTGTCATCATCAAGCACTATTGTTTTTTTTTTTTTTAGATTGACTTACCCACATTGCCATTCATAGCAGCACTATGTAACCCAAGTGAGTCATCTTTCTTACCATCAAAAGGTTTACTCATCATTTCTTTTTAAAAAAAAAGAGAGAGAAAAAAAAAGGGGGAGTGTCGGGAAAAAAGAAATAAACTGCTTTGTACAACTTTATTTTATATGTGGCCTATGCAACATGGTCCATTTTTTCTTTTTCTTTTTATAATGACAAAATCACTCATGGACAACTTGATTTATATTGATGACTATATTGATGGTAATAAACAAACAAACAAAAAAAAGCAAAAGATAGTTGTCTTATTCTATTAGTTGTGGAAGCACTTCAAATGGACCTTCAAAAGAACTTTACTTTGCTTAAAGAAATGGATGGCTATGCACAAGGTAAAAAGAGCATTTATCATACGATATCAACACGTTGTATAGATGCCACTTGTTCAGCAGCCAAGGCAGCTATTTCATTGATTGATACTATTGAAACACTTGATCCTAATGAGAGATTGAACCAACTTCAACATCTAGTTGAACTATTAGGAGAAACTGTCCAGAGAAGTAGTGAAAAGGCTGCATTAGCCAAAGTCACGTTGGATGCCGTAAGCTATGGGATACATAAACCATACATTGACACATAGTAGGTGGACCGTCATTGCAATCGATTGGATGCAGATTTGGTCAAGTTTGAAGAAAGTCATCCGATAGGCGCTATTCGTATTGCTTCTTTACCTGGCCTGACACCTTCTTCAAGAAGTTTACGCGACTATTCTAGAACTTCTTTCAAAGACAAGATGGCCAAAAAAATGAATGAGAAGCAATCTGTCAAAAGTAAGTCTGCTTCTTATATTGTCTTGTATGATTGATGACTTAGAACGACGTATGGATGATAAAGACATGGCTCGATCCTTAAAAGAAACAACCAGAAAGACAAAACTCAAGACATTACCTTCAAGGAAGAACAATGGCAAATTAAAAACGTAACTATAAAAGCCAAATGTGCATATAACTTACCCATTTCTAGATCGGATACAGACATGTCTGTAGATCCAAATGAACCTGTTTATTGTTATTGTCAAAGTGTTTCTTATGGAGAAATGGTGGCTTGTGATAATGCTGATGTAAGTAATAGACGATTGCCTATGTTTATTCAAATGTATAGTGTGATATTGAATGGTTCCATATTGGTTGTGTTGATCTAAAAGCAGCACCCAAGGGTAAATGGTTTTGTGATAACTGTAATAAATACAAAACCAAGCATAGAAGATAATTCATGTTTAAGGAGTCTCATCTATATCATCCAGATGATCATGGCCTCTTAATCTGTTAATAGCAGCCACAGCAGTAACAAGCGATTTAAGTGTGCGACGACTATTAAATCCTTTACGGACATTGGGTGCCAAATTGACACCATTGTCTTGTCTGGATGTAATCCAAACATCTTGTAATGCCTCTTCAGCAGTTACGCGTTCTTTAGGATCAAAGGTCAAGAGTCGATTGATAAAGTGTTTAGCTTCATCAGAAATATCACACCAATATTCCTCATCGAATTCATAATGGCCCTTCATGATAGCTTCAAACAGTTCATTTTGGTCTATGAGGTACATTAGTTTATCCTACTTGTTATTATTATTATTATTATTATTATTACCTTCACCATAGAAAGGGGTATAACCACTGAGTAAAGTGTACTGACCATAGGATAAGTATCAAGAAAGACAACAGCTAAACTTACCATAATCACACCTACACTCCAAATATCAACAGGTGTACCATGTCCTGTGCCCAAAAGTACTTCAGGGGCAACGTAACCAGGTGTACCACATGCAGTTGTTAATACCTCATTATGGTCTTTTAGTAACTTGGATAGACCGAAATCAGTAATTAACAACTCTGCGTTTTCATCAGGCGTCTTGAACAATAACTAACAAATCATTAACTACATCAACACGTTCATGTCACTTACATTCTCGGGCTTGATGTCTCGATGAACAATCTAACACGATTAGATCAACCTAAAGCATCAGATAACTTACATCTTGTGAGTGCAAATAGGCTAATCCTTCCAACATTTGACGTACAAGATCAGCAGCCATGGCTTCTGTATAAGTGCCTCTTTCAATAATACGTTGAAAGAGTTCACCACCTGTACAGAGATCAGTCACGATATAGACAGCTTCATCTGATTCATAGATATCATGCAAAGAGACAATATGTGCATGGCGCACTTTTTTTAAAATGTCGAGTTCACTATCCAACATGTGTTGTTTACCTAAATAAACATAAGATGAAGGTGTCTTAAAAGCTATGGATGTTACCAGCAATCACTTTCTTCATGATAATCTTGACTGCACATTTCTCACCAGTGGCTCTTTCAGTACATTCTTTCACGACAGCAAATGAACCAACACCTAGTTTCTTTTCACCAATCGAATATTTAGCATCGAGTTCAGGAGGGTATTGAGGTGCCTGATCTTGTTCATGTGTCTTTTTGAAAAGAGCTAATACTTTTTTAACAAAGGGTTATGATGATGTGTCATAAGAAGAGAATAATAATAATAATAATAAAAAAGTATATACAATTCTAGTGTTTTTATATTGCTAAATGGAAAAAAAAAACAGTGCTTTTTTTTTTCCCGTTTATGCACTCTTCAAATCGATTCTTTTCAAGTCGTTATTTTGCTGTTGTCGGTGCAAGTACGTCAAGAGAAAAGTTTGGTAACAAAGTATTACGCTGGTAAAGTAGTGCGAATACAACATGATGATGTTGACTATTGAAAGGTATCAATCTAACCAACTTGATGTGATTCCCGTTCATCCGGTAAGTTGCAAACAGAAAAAGATGGCTAATGACAAATACAGAAAGAACCATCGATTGAAGGTCTATCCACCATCCACTCCATTCAGCAACTTGCTCATCCTGAAGAAACATCTCTTTCTATTATTACACCACCCTCCATCACACACCAAGTCCTTCAGTTGGCTGAACAATTAGGTATACAGCATGTTTGGATTCAACCTGGTGCAGAAGATGAAGCAGTCAAAACATTTGCTCAACAGAGTCAAATGAACATCATTTTAAATGCGTGTATTTTAGTAGATCATGCCAAGTTTTAATAGATGAGTTTAAGTGTCACTACTTCAAATGGTTTAATTTTAATAAGCAATCCTTCATTCTTTTGTCTCTCTTGTTCTTGTTGCTGTAGTTCTAGTACATCGTCATCCAACACACGCAAATTGGTACTGAATGTTCTGTTGAGTGTGGATGAATGATGGATGGGTATATCTTCTAAAGGATCTTCCAAAATGTTACACTTGATCGCCTTTTTTACCACTGTGGAACTAGGAGATGTTAATTTGAGTCTGTTTGGTACTAACCTACCTCATCAAACGAGCTCTTGCATGTCCACCATACGCTTCATAAAGTCGAATAATAATATCATTTGAATCTTCTGCCTTCTTGATAGTATCCAGTACTACATTAGGCGCATTTTCAATTCGAAAGTGTGGCATACAATCGTTAATGTCTGTCATTTTGGCTCTTGGTATGATTCTAAACACCTTAGACTTTGACTCTCTGTATTGATATAAACCTTACCTTGTCAACAAAGGCGAGTTAAAATTGTAACCTTCTCGAACCACGTCCGATTGTAGAAAGTGTTGTTCATGAGGATAAATAGCATATTTAAACGAATGGTGACCTACATCACAGTTGGAATCAGGTGCCTTAGGTGAACGTAACAAAGAGAGACGCAACACATTACGATGCGCTGAATAACCATACTTGCAGTCATTCAAAAGAGCAACACCATACCCGTACTCTGACATGTCTGCAAACTTTTGTGCCACCACTTCGAACTTGGCTGCTTCCCAACTGGTGTTGTCATGCGTAGGTCTCTGAACATGACCGTATTGACATTCATAATTTACATGGTCTGTCATGATATCCCAAGCAAATTCGACTTTTAGAAACTGCCTGTTCTCATTCCAATCGACTTCAGTCTCGAAATCCAAGCGTCGAGACACAGCTGTCAAGACTACAATCTGCCTGAGTCGACTTGTCTTGCTGATCTTCTTTTCAATCAAAACAGACGCACGCAAAGGTCCTTGCTCTAGAATCTGAACTGAACCTGCCTCAATTGTCTGGTATTTCTCTAGATGATAGATCTCAACATCCCAAGCATCCCAAAATAAGGGTATATCTTCATACATGCGAAACACATTGCCACGCTCGTTTTCCTTGATCAATTCACGCTCTACGCGTTTATCAAACAAATGAACCAAATGGCCTGATTGATCAAAAGTGACCTTGATCCATTGGTTCTCCATCACCACATTGTTCTGTCGATCTGTCTGGACCTTGACAGGCTCATAACCTACGAGGGATTCTTCTAATGTCAAGCAAGTTACACCTGAAGCCGTGATGCCTGTGGCTATAGCATAGCCTGTTCTACCAAAAGCAGAGTATTGCTTCATACCAGACAATCCGTGATTATCCTCCACTTCAAGAATCGCATGGCGTTCCCATGGTAAGGTGTTGATCACAGCTAATGCTTTTCGTCTGTCATCTAACATCATTGGTGAAGAAGAACAAGTAGATCCAGTCGATACCTCTTCTTCTTCTTCTTCTTCTCCTTCTTTGAGACCCAATAAGGTTGTCATTAGATCATGTCGCATCTGCTTACCGAGCACATCGACTTTGGTGTACATCTGCAGACAGTCTTCATAGACTAATTCAATCGCCGATCCAGACATGACATCGTGAAACTGAGGTAAACAGATCAGTTTCCAAAACTCTTCAAGTTCTGTAGCTGGATATTGAAATGTATCAGGCCAAGCCATCATGGCAAAAGTAGCCAACATTTCAATATCTCTTAGTAAGAATTCGCATGTTCGATTGAGTTTTTTACAAAAGGATTGTGTTGTATAGATGCCTCGATGTAATTCAAAATACTAACAAGAATAAGTCATGGATAGAGTGACATCTTGTCTATTTTTTTTTTTTTTTTTTTTTTTATTACCAATTCGCCTTTCCAGGAGGGAAGTACTTTGGCAGTAGCTTCTACTTTTTGATAGAAATCAATGGGCAAACCCATTTCTGTCTTGGGCAATCCATCCACATTTTTCATTCTTCTGAGTCTTTCAATCATACTGGCTAATGGACCACCTCCTCCATCGCCATTACCATACACAAGTAAGCTGGTATTCGAATAGACTTTATCACGATGATTCTTCACACTAGTATAGCGTGAGTGTCTATGCTGTCTGTAGATGGTGTGTTACCTTCTGACTAATTCTTCAGGTGTGCATTGAGCATTGTATGTTTCTGAGGGTGCCATATGAGTCAATGCTTTTGATCCATCAAGACCAATCCACCAAAATGTAGTCAATGGAAACTTATTGACATTGTTCCAAGATAGTTTTTGTGTAAAAAAGTAGTTCATGTCTGCCAATAACATCAGTTGAGGCAATTGAGATGAATAACCAAATGAATCTGGTAACCAAAACACTTTGCATCGTCTTCCAAAGTTTTGTTCAAAAAAGCGCTGTCTATAAAAGAATGAGACGATGGAATAACATGCGAGGGGATTTTACCCAAGTAAGAATTGTCGACAGAGGGATTCACCACTTGGCATGTTGGTATCCATTTCTACCCATGTCTATTTAAATAAGTAAAAGAATTCAGCCTGTCCATTCGACTTACTCCTCCTGTAGGTAAGAATTGTCCTAGTGTCACTTTCTCAAGAATACGTTCCCATAAGGGCAAATAACGTTCCTTGACCCATTCAAACTGTTGTGCCTGAGAACAAATAAACTTATAATCAGGATATCTGTCCATCAAATTGATCTGAGAAGACCAACTCCGTGCTGATTTTCGAATAGTCTCATCAAATGGCCATAACCAAGCTGTATCAATATGACAATGACCAACAGCAATAATCTCATGTTGTGCATCACCATTCTTTGATCCTAAAAACGACTGAGCTATCTCTAAGCCTTGAGTTATACTGTCATCATCTCCCGGGATAAATTGATTAATGATACGATTGGCTGTATATAAGGCTTGTGATCCTCTTAACGAATCTTCTGGTAAATCCTTTGCCATACCCAAAATAATTTGAAAGTCATACAGTAGATCCCATGCTATCTTGTTAGGCACAGCAAGATCCTTATATATACGCATGTTAGACAGGATGACATCCATGCATGACTTACCACTGCATTTAAATTGAAAAAACGATTTGGGTCGGGTGGGCCAATCAATCCATTGCCAGCACCAAACATGCCATTGCAAGCCATTTCGATATAAAACTGAATGATCTCTCCACCTTCTGCATGAGTTGTCAAGATATATTCATGGCGTGCATCATTCCCCGCTATCATCGTTAGACGCACATCATCTTGGAGTTGCTTACCTCCTCCTGTTAAGCCTTGCAATGTCACTCCTTCCATACTCCAGATCATGGCTTCATTATCTGCATTCCATATAAACAAGACTTCTTCACCCACAAATTCATTTGGAATTCGAATTTGAACATGAAACCAATGTGTAGACTGATTATATGAATATACACCTATGCAATTCTCTATTTTAACTTACCCAAGAAGGACCAAACCATTCACCTAGTCGAGTCGGTCTGAATTCTTGTTGAATCGCTTCTTGAAATGAAATGCGTTTTAAATCAGGTACACTATAGACTAACAAGGAAATGTATTCCTCTTTATCACTTGTGTGAGTTGAGATAGACTATAGACAGTAATATACCTGAATTTGTTCTTGCTCGATACAGTTGCGAGAGTAAATTGAGATCATTACCGTTGGCACCCGCACTAATGAAATTCGAACAACGGTCTATTGTGATACTTCTAATCAGTTTTGGATGCTCCAATACTTGTGGTGCTTGTTCAGGGTTTAATAACGTATTTGAACGTAATAAAGAAGGATGACTAAATTGAAACTGACTCAATAAATCCATATACGTGTTAAAAAAAAAAAAAAGGGAGAGAAAAGAAATAAAAAAAAAAAAAAAAAAAAAAATTAAATTCACACACACTTTATGCACACGGTGAATTAATAAATAGTCATTATTATTATTATTATTATTATTTTACATTGTTAAAGAGTATTGTTATACCTTTTGAAATCTGAATCTGGGAGGAAGACGATTACGACGGTCAACAGCAGAACGAACACGAACAACACGAGCGTGGATAGCACAAGAGACACAATAGTGAAGCTTGATATATAACTTGGGAATAGCATATTCCTCATAGATGGAGGCTTCTTGAAGATCACGGACAGCAGCAGCTTCTACCATGTTACGGATAGTGAAACGCTTGATAGCCTTGTCCTTAGGGACACAACGGTAACAGTTGATGCAACGAACAAACTTGTTGTGACCACGACCGTGCTTGTTACGTCCATTGTTTCTTCTCTTACAAGTCTATATACACAAAGTCAATAAGAGAGGGCTGTGATTTAGACGATCCATGGATATTACCATGATGGATGAATAGCCCTCTGTTAAGATGAAGGAGATTCAAAAAAAAAAAGAGAGAGAGGAATTGTGGGGGTTTTGATAGTCTTTCTCATATGGATGGACCTCTATGTCTACCCTTCTAACCATCATGATGCCATCCTTCTTTTTTTTTTTTTTTTTTTTTCTCCTGTTAAATTTCCGGGGAATAATTCCGGAAACGGATCGGTGATTTATTGATAATAAAAATAGGCCCCCTTAATCGAGGTTTTCTTGTTGAGGTGTCTCATCCGCTATATAGCTATATGTCTTTTCATTGGTGGCTTCAAATGCATAAAAATCAAGGACTGTCAAAGGACGCGTATTTACTTTCTATAGAAACAATGAGTACACAATGTATAGACAAAGAGAATACTTTACAGTCAAGTCAACATCGACTAAATCTTGAGAAGCATCTTCACTGGAATGCATAGGCTGAACAGAACGAACATATTCACGAATTGGTATCATGGCTGCATTACGACAAAGTTCTTTTAAATCACTTCCTGATAATCCTGCTGTTCTCTGTACTAATTCAGTCATGTTGAAATCAGGTGCTAATTCAATGTTCTTCAACAACTAAACTCATAGACTGAGTCAAACCATGCAAGCAAGATTCCTACTACTTACCAGTTCAAGAATACTTTTTCTTTGAGATTCACTGGGTAAACGAACAGAGAATCGTTTAGGCATTCTTCTGAGAATAGCAGAATCAATATCATTGGGACGATTGGTAGCACCCAAGATAACAATACGACTATCTTCCCCTGTTGTTAAACCATCCCATAAACTCATGAATTCAGCCTTCATCATGCCTGTCGTTTCATGGTCTGTACTTCTACGTTCACGCAAAAAGGAATCAATTTCATCAATAAACACAATCGAGGGTTGCAGTTTTCTAGCCAAGGTGAATACAGCAGCTACAAGCTTGTTGGATTCACCATAGTATTTGTCAGTTAAGGTAGAGACATGGATATTGATAAAGGTAGCACCACTTTCTTTAGCCAATGCTTTGGCCAACATGGTCTTACCACAACCAGGTGGACCATACAGCAAAACGCCGCGAGGTGCACCTAATAAACCAGAGGCAGAAGTAAACAATTGAGGATAACAGAGAGGATAAATCACACTTTCTCTCAAGTCCTGAATAATATGATCCAAACCACCAATTTCTATCCTTGTTGTCAATATGTTGATCTAAGGGAAATGAAGCTTACGTTTAAAGTTGACGCTGATTTCATCGGCATGGATCACTTCTGCTGCAATGATTTGTTCATATTCTGACAATTTCAGATCTTTGGCCTAAGCATGAATGAGTTTATCTGTATTTATAGATCGCGTTGCGTACACCTAGTTTACCAAGAACCTTGTTGCTTTTTGCTTTTGCTTCTTGTCGTTTACTCTTGTTAGGATCCAATGATCCAACAATATACTTGAAAGCAAAATAAAAAGCAACTTGAGATATGGCAAATACAGCCACTAAAGAGAATAGATTAAGCCATCTTGTTTTCTTGTACATACAATTTACCATCTGCTGCATATTTCTTTGTTTCTGGACGTTGTAACCAAGATTTTATCATCTGTCAACAATTAAAAAAAAAAAAAAGAAAAGAAAAGAATGAAGGGGATTTGTAAGCGGTTATTCAAATAGAGTCACATGCTGCCTTATAAACAAAAGAACACTCTCTCTTTCTCTTTTCTCTTTTCTCTTATCAAATGCAACCCTGGACTGAGAAAGCAAGTACGAGTAATAACAAATCTTCATTACACTTTGATAATACACTGTCACAATTGAACCATGTATCTTCTACTCATCAAACCAACACATTTAGAACAAAAGGCAAAGAAGTACATCACGACTCTATAGTAAAAGAAGAGCTATCATCACCTATTTCACTCTTTTCAAACCATGCTTCTAATTTTCAGGTAGCTCCACATGAAAATGCATTGGATGGGTCTGATGTCTTGAATTTCTTAAACACCACAAATTACAGTGATTCCGTTCATCATGATGATTTAGTGCCCGATTCTATATCTTATATCAGTCATAGGCACCAAATGGATACGCAACATGCCCTATCAGAAAGGGAGAAGCATCAACATCATTGGACAGCTGAGTTGCTAGCAGCAGAGGACATTGTCGATTATTTGCAGAAAGCAGATTATACAGAAGATATCTATGGCATTCCACATCTTGGTCAATGGATCAAAGAGGCAAAAGAAGAATTAGCACAATCATCAACCAAAAGAACAGCAGTGGAACGATTGACCATGATTCGTCATCATTTGGTTCAAAAGGCATTGGGTGATCCCGAATTAGCTGCCAAAAATGCACTGGGCATGAATGAACATGATTGGTCCAGTACTTTTCTTGACTCAGCAAAATAAAGACATTTAAATGCACCATTCAAGAAAAAAAAAAAATTTTTTTTTATTTATTTCTTTTTCTTCTTTGTCATTCTAAATGAATCAATTTGAACAAGATACTATCTCTGTTCATTCTTCTTTGTCTTCTACTCCTACAGAAACAACACCTTTAATTGCTAACAAAAACAATGAGAAAGAAGAATCAAGCTGGGCCAATGAATTCCGTTGGCTATTTAAGAATGCAATCCCAGTGATTTTCACTTTTTTGATGCAAAATTCGCTTCAAATGGCTTCTATCTTTACACTGGGTCATTTGGTAAGTCAATGTGGGATGAATTCAAATTCCACTATGACTAACATTGACCAAATAATCATTAGGGTTCCACAGAATTAGCAGCCGCAGCCTTATCAACCATGTTTGCCAATGTAAGTGCTTGGTCTATTGCATTTGGTACATCAGCAGCTTTGGATACGCTGTGTTCTCAAGCATGGACAGGTGCTAAGGATAAAACATTGGTAGGTGTTCATCTTCAACGAGCCCTTTGTATCCTTGGTATCATGTTTATTCCTATTGCCATTGTCTGGTGGAATTGTACCAAGATTTTATTAAGCTTGAATCAAGAGCCTGAGTTAGCCGCATTGGCAGGCACTTTTCTTCGTTGTCTGATGTTTGGTGCTCCTGCTTTTATTGCCTTTGAAGCAACCAAAAAGTTCTTGCAAGCCCAAGGTATCATGCAAGCCTCCACTTATATTCTTATGATTGTTTCACCTATCAATCTCTTATTGAATTATACACTTGTCTATCTTCCTCCTTTCCAATTGGGTTTTGCTGGTGCTCCCATTGCTACTGCTTGTAGTTATTGGCTCATGCTGGTCTTGTTGGTTTGCTATATTCGATTTGTGGATGGTAAGGAAGCATGGGGAGGCTGGACCTCTGAATGTTTGACGGGTTGGTGGCCCTTTTTAAAGCTCTCTATTCCTTCTCTTTTGATGATAACAGCCGAATGGTGGGCATTTGAAATTTCCTCTTTGGCTGCAAGTTATCTTAGTACCCGTGACTTGGCTGCTCAATCTATTTTGTTGACTACAGCCAGTGCTACTTACACCATTCCTTTTGGTATCAGTGTGGCTGCTTCTAACCGTGTTGGTAATGCGCTTGGTGAATGCAATGCTCAAAAAGCACGTCGTGCCTCCATCATGGCGTTTTCGTTTGCTATCTTTTTCGGCAGTCTTAATTCTGTCTTCTTTTTGGCTGTTCGTTCCAAGTTTGGTTATCTGTTTACAGAAGATGGAGATGTTGTACAATTAGTTGCTGAAATTGCACCCCTTTGTGCCTTGTTTCAAATTGCAGATGGTCTATCTGGTGTATGTGGTGGTGTGATTCGTGGTATGGGCCGTCAATTGTTTGCTGCCTGGGTTAATTTGGTTTCTTACTATGTGATTGCATTGCCGCTCGGTTACTATTTGACGTTTGTGCATGATTGGGATTTATATGGTCTCTGGTCTGGTTTGACACTTGCCTTGTTCTTAGTGGCAATTGGTGAACTTGTGTTTTTGTTGCGTGTGGATTATGAAGAAGAAGCTCGCAAGACTCAAGAGCGTGTTCATTCAGATGAAGATAAGCTTCATGAAGAACATCCACATGCTGTTGTTTAACTTATTCATATGATCAGCAATAGCTGTCGTCTTTACATACCTTTCTTTATTCTACTTAATTTACTAGAAGTCACCAATAAACTTGTAGATTTATACAAAAAAAATAAACAGGAGGACACTCAACTTTTATGATGAACTGAATCTTATTTCTCAATCACTTTAGGGGAGATACTAATTATGTTACCATACTTTGACGTTTTAATAACTGTGATTTTTGTGACAAGATCTTTAAAGTAGATAATGAAGGAGCAGTCAAGAGTGAGGATCGTTTCTTTTTCTGTTCTTGACAGACAGTATCCAAATGTACTTGTTTTGCTTTTTTCAAGAAAATGGATTTTTCATTCGCCAATACGTTAGCATGTTTAGGAGAGCTAGAAACAGGAGAGGCAGCCAAATGAATGGATTCGAACGAGGGAGAAGAGACAGCCATGTCGTCATCACTGGCTCCAATGGAGGAATGGATACTCTGTAGTGTCTGTAATTTGCTAGACGGCACATTGGTCTGAATGATCTGGTATCGATTGCTTTCTTCTAAACGATCACAATCTGTTGATTCTAGAAATGGCGATGATGATAGGCTTACATTAGACCCTATATCAAAGCAAGGTATCGGCTTTTTTCTAGACAATGCAGAAGAAAGCCGTTTTGAGGTACTAGAGACATCATTTGGTGTACTGCCCGCTTTATTCTTGAGAGGACACAAAGACAGGCTCTGCTGAGGTTTGGTTCTCGAAAATCCTTTTAAAGAAAAGTGGCGCTGATAGCTCACTGAAGGCGATGGCCTCTTTTTTTGGGAATGGCGCTTGAGTGATGGCACTTGTTTGCAGCTGGTGGATAAACTCTCGGTTGCCTTTTTAAGAAATGTACTTAATGAAGACTTTACTGTAGGGGTTGCTTCGGTGGCTTCATAAGAAAGATAGCTTTTTCGTTTGTTTTTCATAAAAAAGATATCTGAGAACCTCGATCTCGAGGGTCGTGCGGATGCTATTGCTTATCGTGTCAGTAGGTTCTCTTCTACGCTATCATGTCCTCACCTTCTTTCAGAAATCTGGGTGGGCCTTTATCCTTGATGGATTTGATCCATGCTGATAATTGTGTTTGTGATTCCATGCAGGTTTCGTATTCTTTTTCATAATATGAAATTCGTTCTTCAATAGGCAAAAAATTCATAAAAAAGTTAGATTCAATTTCAGTAATATTGATTCTGTGTCTCTTTGGTTCTTGGCTGTTTAGATAAGCACCAGACCAAGTATTGTTTTTTGATGGTAGTAGTTCATTGTTAAATGATACATATTTAAGTTTTTTACTATATGATACAGTCTGAACATCCATAAATGAGAATAAAAAAAAAGAAAACGAAAAAGAGAGGATTCTATAGACAAGCATACACACACACAAATATATATATATATATATATATAGGTTCTCCTTAACTTGACACTCTAACTTCAAAACTGCCACGAAAGTGGATCTTTTTTAAGTTTTGAGACCTTCCCCTTGCATCTTATGATTAAAAAAAGTAAGCTACGATACATCTCCCCCTCTCTCTTTCTCTTTTTTTTTTACATTTGGAAACTTTGTATTTCATTTCTTAACTTCTCCGTTACCTATGACATAAGATACTTTCATTGGATCCCAAACAAATAAAAAAAAAAAGGGAGAGAGCAAAATGATTAAAAAGCTTGTTAAATTTTCTTTTAAGCTGATAATCACTTTAAGGAATTACTCTTATGAAAAACAAATCCCTTGAACAAGTAAATAAATCGATCGAAAAGAACAGTGTATGCATTATGAATATCAAATAGATACGCGAGTTTTTCTGTATCTAGACTTGAAAAGAAAGGGGAGATTCAAGTCTTTGTGCTTAATTTGTGTTATTAGACTTACATGACAATTCTCTTTTGTTGTCAATATCCAAAAAAAAAAAAAAAAAAAAAAAAAAAAAAAAAGCTTGATGAAAATAGGAGAACAAGGATGATTGAAAGAGAACAAACAACAGGAGAATAAAGGTATATCGATGCCTCTTTTTCTTTTTACTTGGACCGTGCACCTTCCGAATACAAAACAGCCTTTTAAAGAAAACAGTACAAGTTTGTATGGTGTCCTTTTGTACACTTTTTTTTTTGTTTTTGGTAAGGCAAGAAGATCAAGTTTAATACTTGAGAATGGTTACCCTCCCTTTCTCTCCTTCTTTTTTTTTTTTCTATATATGAAAGAGTGATCGGTAGCACGGTTGTTTACAATAACGTTTAATTTATTCAAAAAAAAAAGAGGTCCAGAAACTTACTTGAGCACAAGTGCAAGACGACATGATATCATTTTCTCTCATATGTTTACTGCCCAGGAGGTATTTGCTCTGATTCTCCATTTGGTTTGCCGTATTTTTCTTTTGCTCTTTTTGCTCGACGTGCTTTCTGTTTGGCTATTTTGGCTGCTTTTTTAGCATTCTTACTCAGGCTTCCATTCTCTAGTTCGTCTAGCTTCTCTCTCAGTAATTTGCGCGCAATACCTCGATTGTCAGCTAACGATCGCGATTGCTGACACTAAAACTCATGTGAGCCAGCGTTGTTGTGTTAATGAGGCTTACTTGAACACGGATTCCGGTAGGTATATGCCGCAAGTCAACACATGTGGAGCGTTTGTTTATGCATTGTCCGCCTGGTCCAGAGCCCTTGACAAACGTTTCAATAAGATCCTCATCTTTAAGGACAATTTTTTTTTTTTGTGTTGGCGTTGTCAGGGTTCTAAGCAGTGGTTGTTTAGGTAACCATGTTAATCGAGAAAAAAGGTTTAATAGTAATGACATGAGGGAAAAAGAGGAAGAGAAGAAAAAAAATTTTTTTTTATTTACACTGCTTCTTCTTCTTCTTCAACATCATACAAGACTCGAATCCTAAGGGAGCAATTGTTACAACCAACGACTTCGATGCCTTCCTCTAATTCATCTTCTGTGATCAAGTATTCCCCTGAACAACGACAAACAAGCGAAAAAGTCTTTTCATTATATTCCATCTCGTCTAAATCTACTTCTGCACTGATGGCCACATCCTTTTTATTTCTTTGAGCTATAGAGTATCAATACGTTTTAGTGAGAGAAAACACACAACTTACTTTCAAGTTCAATATCGTAATGTCTTCGACTTTGTGAATCTCTCAGCACTTCCCATGCTTTTAGGATCTTTTGTGCCTGAGTATCATCGTCATGACTTGTGCGTTTGTCCGGATGATGCTAATCATAAAAGCAATGAGAATACGATCTTGCAACATTTTTTTCACATTTACTTGTAAAATCAACTTTTGAAATCGTTGTTTTATAAGGTCAAATGAGGCTGTTTCGCTCACTTGTAATACTTCATAGTAAGTTGACATTTATTATGATACAAAAGAAGAAGAAAAAGGGAAAAAATTATTGAATCCAAACACGACCTTGATCACTTGTCAGACGTGTTTTTCGGTCAAGAATGTCCAATACTTTCTCGCGTACTCCCCATTTTCCTTTATGTCCCTTGGTAAACCAAAACAGAATTTCTTCATCGTCTTTTAGTCTACCTTCCGTTATGAATTCTGCACCTTCTCCAGTAATAGCAAGTCTTACTTCCTCTTCTGTCGGCAAAGCGAATCTTGCATAAGGGTATTTTTTAAGATCCAGTTGGATTGGCAGGGACAATGTGTTAGGAGAAGGATCCAAGAAATACAGCTGTTCAATATCTTGATCAGAAATGCCTGCTAACTGAAAGGGTTGCCATTGAGGTTTTCGTCTTGGTTTAGCAAACGCTGCTTCCACGCCTTCATAAAAGTCTTTTGTGACAAGAAATTTCTGGATCAAGTCAAACTCCATCTTGAGGCATTCAACCAGAGACATGGTCTCAGCCCTCCTTAATGCTTTCAAGATCACTTTCAAGCTTGTGGGTGAAGTCGAGAGCAATTTCTGTTTTGTCGCTCGTGTCCAAGACGTCTGTTTTTCTTTTTCCAATGCCCCTACAATCTCTTCTACTGTATTAAAAGCAAAACATCTATGGATAGTTTAACATTCTATCTCTTGATTGAATCCCTCTCACCTGTCAATACACTGCCTGATCTCTTTCTGAAATCCAATGCGATCCACTGGTTTTTGCTCTACAAAGTTCTCTAGTACGCGTTGAATAATTTCATGCTCTGATGTCTCCAAGTCAATCAATCGTTGTTCTAATGCTGGTAATCTTGAAGAAGGAATATAGTGCGTTGCAATACCTGTAAAACTAACATTATGAGTCAACCATAGAACAGTTGACTTACAAAGTATCTATGCCTTCCAATCGATCCCCTGTCAATGCTAAATATGTGCCAATTTGACCATCCAGTCGAGATAAATAGAAACTCGATCCAGAATTCAGAAATGCGCCCAAAGTCACTTCTGGTACAGCAAAAATCGTCTTTTCTGTAGCTATCCTAAATGGACCATGAATAAATAAGCCTAGAGCACCTCCTACTAAGACAAAGTGATAAGAATCAACAACAACAATAAAATCCATTCAATGACATACATACATGCGTATCCATCTAATATAGCAACATAAGGTGTTTTTAATGTGGCTATCATCTGCACAAGTCCAAATTTGTCTTGAAAGAAATACAAAGCATCTGGATCTTTTGCTTTTGCTTTTAACAGGATATCTACACTAGACGATTATGACACGACATGATACGTGCACTTATTACCATAGATATCATCGCCTACACTCAATTTACCCTTGCCTATGCCCTTTAGCATGATCACCTTGGCCAAAGTAGACACATCCCAGGCTTTTAATTGAGGACCAATGTTTCTGACCATACCCAAATTCAATGCATTTAATTTCTCAGGTCGATTCAGGATAAACATTCTTGCACTCGATCTTTTTCTATGAAGAACATGGGTCTATGTCTTGTTAATCACAAGTTTTGTTACACACACACACACACTTTTCTTACTTGTGGTAAGTCGTCTTCTGTTTGTTGTTGGTATTCCACCGAAATCTAATAGAGATAAGCAATGTTATAGAGTGATATTTACATACAAAGCGAGTATTAGTCACAGGTAAACGTTTAGAACCACCTAATAAAAACGGTCTTTTTGTCAATAAAAGTAAACGACTCATAAAGAAAAGAGAGAAAGAGAGAAAGAGAGAGAGAAAAAAAGGAAAGATAGGGTGTCTGTAAACAAACCTCTTAAATCATTTAGTAACATGATCCAGAATTATCCGAGAGAGAAAGAGCCTTTCATTGAGTGCACGTGACTTGCTCGTCATTGTGTTTATGCGTACAAGGGATTCTATATACACTTTTGCCTGAATTTGAATACCAAGCCTATGCCGAGCCTACTTGTTTGACGTGTCTGCTTTGACTTGTCCATCGGGAATTAGCTTTATGAAAATTAAGCCGGGGATTTTGTTGTGTGTAACTCTATCTCTGCCACTTTATTTTTTGATGCCATTTTCTATCTAAAAATGTTCAGCAAACATTGTGGTATAACGTAATCATGCTTTCCTTTTTGTTTCTTTTGTTGTCAAAACCTTAATTCTAGTTTTACTTGTGTCTTTATTGATGTATTAATTGGGTAAATGAACTAGATCTCTGATTGGTATTGTCCATGGTGGTGCACACCATGTGGGTTTAAGACTCAGTTAAAAAAATTACGAAAAAAGAGGCATGTCTTTTCTTGCTCTAGAATCAACCTTGATAGTTAACACTCAACTGTACATAGTCAAAAAAAAATGAAGGGTTTATCTTCTCCAATTGAAGCTCAGATGTATCTTCATGGTGGGAAATTCTTGGATCTTCCGCCCAATCATGACGCATATGACATGATAAATATTCAAAGAAAAAAAAAAGGGGGAAACAAAAAGATGGTTTTCTCCTGTGTATTCCTGACTCGTGCATTTGGTAATTTGTGTACAATCAAACAATAGAGAAAAGTGACTATTTTAATTGAATTAGTTCATTACGATTAAACAATAACACTCAATACTGACACGATGAAAAGATACTTTTTAAGGACTCAAAAGGAGAAAAGAGCCAAGAAGATGAGCATGACAAAAAGGGAGTTGGTTGTCAGAATACAATGTCGTGCTATGTGTAGCACAGAAAAAAAATTGTGAAAGTTCCTAAATTAGTCATTTAGTGCCTCCCTCTTGTTGTAATTTGATAGTTTATTATAAATGATGTAAACACACGCACTCACTCACTCTCTCTTTCTTTCTCTCTCACTCTCTCTCACTCTTTCTCTCTCTTTCTTTCTCTCTTTCATTTTTTTTTAATTTATTTTTCTAAGCTATTGTATGACAAAATATAATTATATAGAGAATCATTTCTATATATCCTAAGCCAAATCATTTATTATAAGCATAACATTTTGTTCTATTGACCTTTTTTCTCTCTCTCTCCTTAAGAAACATATCCATTTTATATAGGAAAAAAAAAAGAAAACGCCCTCTATTTATATCTCGATATTTTTTCTCCTAAATAACATTTGAAAGGTAAAATGATTTCATGCCTTATTCTTTACGCTCATGATTATATATTAGATCACTCTTTTTTTTTTCTGTTTTATTCTCTCTTATTATTTTCCATCATGGACATTCGAAATTTACTCAATAACCCCGCAGTAGACGAAAAACCATTCAGTTGTTCATGGGCCGAATGTTCGAAATCATTCTCTCGTCGCTCCGATCTTTCAAGGCATATCAGAATCCACACAGGCGAAAGACCTTTTCATTGTCAATGGCCAACATGTGGAAAGCAATTCATTCAACGCTCAGCCTTGACAGTTCATTATCGCACACATACAGGCGAACGTCCTCATGTCTGTGAATACATGGCTTGTGGAAAATCATTTAGTGATGTAAGTGTCTGAATGGTTCCTTTCTGATATACTCATGTAACCAAGTCTTCTTCTTTGGCTAGACATCGACGCACACATACAGGCAAAAGACCTTATGTATGTCAATTTGCTGATTGTGGTAAATCATTCACTCGGAAAACAACCCTTTCAAGACATCAACAATGCCATGATCCAAAATGGAAATCCTACTGGTAAGTATTGATCCTATATACATTAAATTCATTGGATTAGTATGGATACCATGGCTTCTCATACGACAACGGTTAAAGGAGCTTTTTTAGGTCAACAATCTCCGCTTAGCTCCAGTAGCAGTGATTCAGAAGTAGAGTCTCTTTTGACACTGCCTTCTGATCATTTTCTTCAGCAAAGACAACAAGATTTCGTCATGTACAATCATAAACCTACTACTACCACTACCACTACTACTACTACTACTATCATGATGAATTTTGATCATTTAAAATCAACTTTTAGTGAAAAACCAGAATGCGGTTATCATAGAAACAATTATCTCTAACTTTTTATATGCATTGAGTTTTTTGTAGTCATTCAACATGTATGTCTTTATGCCCCTCCTCCTTTTTTCCCTCTTGTATTTGCATCTCACATTTCGTTATGTTTTTTTTGATATGATTAATAATAAAATATGGTATTCTGTCAATTAGGTCTGTTATCTTATAGAGAAGGACTATACTTTTTTTTTATTTTCTTTATCTTTATTATAAAACTGAAACCTTGTGTATGTACACACACACACACGTAGCAATTGAAACGTAATGTTATATACTTTTAACCATTTTTGTATTCTTATAAAGTGCGCATTTTAGAAAAGAAAGGCCAAGCCTCTCTTTTTTTTTTTTTTTTTTTTTTCATTTTCTTTATATACATTAAAAAAAATATAGACAAGTTTTCGAGTTCAATGGTAGATCGAAACCACTCATCGAATAGATACAACCGTCCAAAAATTACTCTTATACTTTAAGGCACGCATGCTGTAATAAAATTATAAAGCACATTGCCCTCAAAGTTTGTGTTTTTTAGATCGAATAAAGAAGAAACTAAACTTGCAGGTTTTTACATTCAATTTATACTGAGAAAAAACATGAGTCATGAAGTGACTCTTTTTTTTAAAGAAACAAACAAAAAAAAAAATTTTTTTTTTTCAGTGGTAGTAGGGTATAAAGTAAGTATAAAAAACATGCTTTTTTAGTCTTTTTTTTTTTTTTTTCTTTTTTTCTTTACAAAGAGAGGCGGCAAGCTTATGTATACGGGCAAACGTACAAAAAGACTTGTTCTTTTATCCATCCCCGTGGGAAGGTCTGAGGAAAACCGCTAAATGTCTTTGCTGGACAACCTGTTAATAATGGGGGCAGTGCTACCAGAAATTATAACGACTTGGGCCATTAGTACCTTTGAAAGAGAGAAATTTCTCTCTTGATGGGTTGGCTCAGGTATGTTTACTGTAATGGCCTGCGGGTGGTAATGCTATGAAGTGCAATACATGAGACTGGTTTAATCACTAGTAACTCAATTCAGACTACTCTGTTGCCTCTCTCTCTTATTTTTAATATATAAAAAAAAAAGAAAATGAAAATAATCACAAATAAAAAATAATTCGCTTTTTTTACTCTTTTATGATGTTTATAGAACTCATACCAGAAAGGATCATTGTAGGATGCGTGGTTGTGCTCATTACGTATTTGCAATTGACTACGAATTTTTATATTTTGGGCCCTGCTTTTGGAGGCTGGACAAGCCTACATACGCAAAAGATATTAGCCCCTATGAATCTGTTCCTCATTTCACTCTATGTAAACTATTACTTTGCTTGTACAATAAAACCAGGCTATACACCTGAAGGATGGGTAAGCCAAATCTCTTTCTTTATCTGTGTATACCAATCAAGTACAATACTTAGGAACCTCCTCATGCCATCATTGAATCGATAGACGATGATTTATTAAAGAGTGGCATCACAGGTCTTCGTTATTGCAAGACATGTGAGCACTACAAACCTCCTCGAGCCCATCATTGTCGTCATTGTGGTCAATGTGTCTTACGTATGGATCATCACTGCCCTTGGATTGGCAACTGTGTAGGTTTTGCCAACTATAGTTACTTTGTTCGGTTCGTGTTTTCTGTCATGATCTGTTGTTCCTATGGCTGTTTCTTGCTACTCTGGCGATTACAGCGTATATTTGAAGCAAGACAAAATCCTTGGGTAAGTAAAATAATCTATGCAACACAGTACTCAGTATTTAAGATAATCCACCCTTCTATGCTTGAACTAGTGATAGTTGTGTTCAATATCATCTTGATCTTTTTTGTTCTTTTACTTGTGGGTGTCTTGGCTGTTTATCATGTCTATTGCCTATTGAAAGGACAAACAACGATTGAAGGATCTGAAAGAACCAAGACAACACAATTAATACGCCGCCAAAAGATAGATGCTGTAAGTACTATGTTTTGTGATGATATCAAACAAAGGATTAGGTTGAATTTCCTTTTGACATAGGCTACTATCAAAATATCTGTTCTGTCTTGGGTAGCAATCCCATCTTTTGGATGTGGCCACAAGGTACACCAGGCAATGGTCTACAATACGCTGTGAAACCAAATACAGGTATAAGAAACAATATTCTATGTGTATCTTACTCTCTATAGATCCTAGAGTAGTCTATGGTTGGCCTCCCCGTGATCCTAAAGAACTCGATCCCTATAGCCAAACGGAAGAAACAACAACAAAACTCGTACGCCGTGATTCAGAAGGCTATCTTGTAAGAGAAATTACTATGGAAGATAGAATGCATATGTTGCATCATCACTTGGAAGATCAAGGTTTTATTGAGGCCTATTCTGATGATGAAGAATTCGACAAGAAAAACAAGTGATACAAAAGTTTTTATTTGGTTTAAGCCAATCATCTCTCTTTTCTTTTCTTTTCTTTCTATTTCTTTCGAATAAAATGTATGCTAATAGAACAGCAGGCTCTACAGCCTTGAAGCGTCTGATGACAGAATATAAAGGTAGTTTGTTGTTGCTGTTATTGTTTGGTTTATGACTAGATTATAGAGTTGACACTGAATGCACCTGAAGGAATCACAGCAGGTTTGTTTAAAGCAAGAAACAAGTAGATGCTGATTGTTAAAGGTCCTGTTGATGAAAACAACTTTTTTGAATGGGAGGCTCTTATTGCGTATGTTATCTCTCTATTGAAGTTAGGCTTGTTTCTTATTTCTTATTTTTTGATAGTGGCCCTGAAGGTACACCTTTTGAAGGTGGACTGTTTCCTGCTACACTTACGTTCCCTAAAGATTATCCTTTAAGCCCACCTACAATGCGATTCACATGTGATTTCTTTCACCCTAATGTTTATCAAAATGGGACTGTTTGTATTTCTATTTTACATCCACCTGGTGATGATCCCAACATGTATGAAAGTAGTTCTGAACGTTGGAGTCCTGTTCAGAGTGTAGAGAAGATTTTGTTGAGTGTGGTCAGTATGTTGGCAGGTAAGTTTTTTCTTAAAAACTTCAAATAACTCATTTCTTCTCTCACGATAGAACCCAATGATGAAAGTGGTGCTAATATTGATGCCTGTGTAAGTCATGTATAGCACATTATTTGTCTCATTCAAATGTAGAAAATATGGAGAACAGACCGTGAACGTTATAATGAAATAGTAAGAGAGAATGCTAGAAAGACATTAGGTTTATAAAGTCTTTAATTTAAATATGATTGAAATTCAACTCCATTTTGGGATGATTCATCATAGCAAGATTGAAATCCATAGGGATGTCACTGTTGAGGGTATTCGTCTTTTCTTCTGTATTTCTAAGTGTTTGTCTATTTTCAGGTATTTGATAGACATTTGTCAGTAAATCATAATTGGTTGGATTAGCACGACGATAAGAAAATAAAGAGGTATTGAACTGTCTTGTTGAGACTGCTGCATGATGCAACCAATTCAATTCAGTGGTTGTTGTATCTTGTGCTGTCAATTGATGAATCAAATTGTTTCGGCCTACTTCCAGATTAGCAGGCAAGAAAGAAGAAGCAGGTACTGGCTTATCAAGCATGTCTTTAGGCGGTTCTTCATCAGAGGGCTCATCTTCTCCTTCATCTACTTCATCTGTGTAATAATAATCATCTCTTCCTTTACGTCCCTTTCGAATGATACGATGTCCAAATTGTTTAAACACAGAACGAGCTGTCACAACAGATATTTCACGCGTACGAAATGTAGATCGAAGCAGATTGGAATCAACCAAATAGCCTTTTTCAGCATTATCAATATGCACCTTGATGAGCTTGACATTCTTCTTTAGGAACACAAAACTATCTCGAAATCCTAACAAAGCAGCTGGATCTTTTGAAAACATGAATAACGTATTGTCTCTTGTAGGCAAGGTAAATGTAGGAACACGGTATTCACGCCCTAAACAGGTTAATACATCATTCACTACAGACCATAATTACCTCCAAGCAACCGACCGTATTTATCGACCTTGGTTTCTCCTGATTCATCAATATCACTTATATAGCCACTGGGTGTAGTTGGAGGATGATAACTGTGATTCGAAAGATTCGATGATGCAGATGATTGTTGTGACCTCGCATGTCTGTCTTCCCTTGAACCATAGTGATGCGACTTGGGTCGACCTCTTTTCCTTACATGGTGATCAGGGCTTGGATGATGACTTTCAAGATCACTTGTGTTTAAAGCATCATCGCCAGAAGATAATTCACTGTCTTCGTCAACATAGTTTAGGTCGTCTTTTCTATCTAGGCCACCACTTTGGCTTCTTGATCGCTTTCTTTTTGGCATGTCGTCTTTTTTATGCATCAAGTTACTAGAAAACTCTATTATTATGAGTTATTCATAGTTTGTATGACAGTTCTCTTTTAAATTCATGGTCTGATTGACTCGTGTGTTTGATTCAATAGGCAAAGAAACGGCTTACCTGAAAGCATAAAATGGAACACAAAAAAAAAAAAAAGAAAAGAGAAAGAGGCAGAAAGAACAAATGGCAATTGTGACGTAAATATGTCTAGCCAATAAAATGCTTGGAAAAAATTTTTTTCTGACTATTTATTCTTTTCTTAACAACCCTTTTTGTTCTTTCTCCCATTTTTTTTCTATTTCAACAGATAGTGAGGAAGGTAAGTGGCAGATAAAGCGAAAGAAAGATCTGGTATTCACGATCTGTTAGATTTTTTTCTTGTCACTTTATAATTGTTTGGAAAATAATCGAGTTATCTGAATCTAATATGCAAGTCTTTGTCAAGTCTCTCCAAGGAAACACTCTTGCCCTTGATGTTTCCACCAACTCTTCTGTTGCTGCTGTCAAGGCCATGATCCAAGAACGTGAAGGTCTCCCTGTTGACGCTCAACTCTTGTCCTTTGCCGGTAAGCCTCTTGTTGATGGTGAACTTGCCCTTTACGGCATTGCCAACAACAACACCTTGAACCTCAACGCTGAACTTCTCGGTGGTGGTAAGAAGAGAAAGAAGAAGACTTACACTACCCCAAGAAGATCAAGCACAAGCGTACTAAGGTCAAGTTGGCTATTCTCAAGTACTACAAGGTAGATGAATCTGGTAAGGTCACTCGTCTCCGTCGTGAATGTCCCAATGCCACCTGTGGTGCTGGTGTGTTCATGGCCAAGCACAAGGATCGTCAATACTGTGGCAAGTGTCACTTGACTTATGTCTTCCAAAAGGGTGAAAGTGCTTAAATAAAAGCATCTATTTCTCTTTGAAAAAAAAAATGAAGGCTCTTTTATTATTCTTTGTTCATGTTGGTTGGACTAATGTGTTGTGTTTTTAATAAGGCTTCATGTAATTCTTGCTGTTCTTGTAGTTCTTTCATGTTTAACGCTTGTTGCTCTTTCTTTTTTCTTCGCTCTTCATCACGTAAGACACCTGCTCTTAGATTCTACAAAACTGAGATCAGCTTGTCTTTTTTTTAAAAAGAAAAAGTCTTATAGTTACTGCTTTCTCTTCATTTTGCAAATAATGAACACCAAACACTGAACCAACACAGAATAAGATAGAACCTAATAAAGTTGCTTTGGCTGCTCTGGACATGATTAAAAAAAGAAAGAGAAAAAAAGAACTAGGGGTATGCATTGAAAGAACCGTCCAATTTTATTTTTATTTTTATTCTCAGTGATATCGATACCTTGAAGGTCCATAATGCCTATTGACAGGCATCATAGGTGAACAATAATCTGGACTATACATGTAGTTTTGTGGATAATAAGCAGGCTCATAATAACAATACTCTTCTTCTCCATCATCGTCATCTTGATCTAGAAAGTAAGGTTGAGGATAACCTTGGGATCTTCTATAGTGTAAGGGTTCTTTACCCGTCGATCGACTTTTTCTTGGTTTAGGCGGAGGCAGAGAGAGTGGATAATAAGCACGATCAGGGAGATAATATTGCGGTTGCTCAAATTCTCGACGAGGATGCTGCCATTTAGCTGATTCAGTTGATCTTGCTCGCGGCCTTGTCTTTCTGAGTGATGCCACAGAAGATCGGTGACTGGGTGTAGGTACCAATGTAGTGGAAGGACTGGCTGTTGTATCTAATCGACTTTTATTGCTAACAACGCTGTTTCGACGTGAATGTCTAGGTAGAAAATCACCTTCAACACTACGAGACTTGTCAAATTCTTCCGATCGACTCTTGTTTAATGCGTGAGGCTCATTCAAGTTCAATTCGCTCATTTGCTGTTGCCATTGTTTGTGCTGTAGTTGTTTTTGATAACGTTGCTTCATGAGATAGTTATTGAGTTGTTCTTCTGTCATCATGAGTTTTTCTAACATTTGGTTTTGTTGGTCCAGATGAAGTTGTTCTTTTCTTGCCCATTCTTCTCGTTCAATGATGCGTTGTTGTTCCATGAGTTCGACTTGGTGCTTAAGTTCAAGGAATAGGCGGGTGTATTCTTCTTTTTCGCGCATTTGTTGTTCTTGAAGTCGTTGCTGCTCTTCCATTTTTTGCTGTTCTTCCAGTTTCTGTTGTTCTTGTAGTTTCTGTTGCTCTTGTAGTCTCTGCTGCTCTTGCAGTTTCTGTAGCTTCTGTTGCTCTTGCAACACTTGCTGTTCATAAAATTTTTGTTGTTCTTCAATTCTCTGCTGCTTAAGAAGCTTTTGTTGCTCTTGCATATGGTATTGCTGTTGTTGCTTTTGATATTCTTTTTGCTTTTGATAGTAATGGGATTGTTGCCGAGGTGTGGCAGTGGCTGAGGAGGCTAAAGAAGGATTCGCAATGGGTATTGTGCTCTCATGATTGGTATCAAACTGAATTGATTCATTGTCATCATCACTATCTTGTATTGAAGCAGGTGGAGGTGACACAAGAGGTCGGCGTGATATTTGCTTTTTTATCATGGGCAATTCAATTTGACTATGTGTATCCATTGTAGGATCAGACAAGGACTCAACAGCAGAATCATACTCTCTCGTTGAAGAATAATCACTCATGACTGACTGTTGTGCTGTATGTCCCTGGCTTGTTTCGATTGGGGGTTCTGTTACTATTGTTTCTTAAGCAAGATGAATTTTATGTGCGTCTTTTTACCTTCACGAGCTGTTGGCAACAGAATAGGTGAGATTTCTTCATGCAATGATTCCTCTTCTACTTGCGTCTTGTCATGATCGAATCTACCGAGAATAGCACGCGTAGGCGTATAAGGTCTTCTAGGTTTTGGCATAACAAGAACAGGCAATTCACTTGTAGACTGCGGCATATTAATCATAGAAGAAGTAGAAGGCGGAGCAAACATAGATTGCTTCTTTATCTGTTCATCAAGTAAAATAGAACTAGACAAGTTCTTTTCAGACTTTTTCTTTTTAAACAACTTTTTCATAGTTGAAAGAAACAAGAAACGAAAAGAAAAAGGAGAGAAAAAAAAAGAGACCATTTTAGTTGTTTATCATACAAAAACCTATATATAGAAATTACTGCTTCTTTTTTCCAAAAACAATAGCATCAAAATAAACAATAAGAAGCCCTGCTTTCTTTTCGTTTGAACAAGATGTACAAAAAAGGAAAGACCTTCTTGTATAGATTGCATGAATTTCTTTATTTTACGCCACCCACATCATTTTTCATCATCCAATTGACTTAGTTGACAAAATTGGTATTGTTAGTCAAGAACAAAATGCCATGGATTGATTCAAGGCCATCATGCTTATTTTTAAGAAAAATAAAACTCATTGTGAATACTTTCCACTCTCTCTATGCAATGTCAAATTCGAATCTAATGTCCGAAAAAGGATAACCCTGCTCGATAAAAAAAAAAAAAAAAAAAGTTTTTTTTCTTCCTTTTCTCTATGTTTAAAGTACTTTCTTGTAGCCCAGTCTTGACTACTTGTTCAAGAAGTCTATCTACTGCCACACATACTAAGAAAAACACAATCTTAAAGACCTTTTTACTAGGCACAACATGTTTAGCAGGCTCCTATTTTGGTTGGCAGAAATACAATGAGATAGAAAACAAAGGCAAACTTGACCAAGATCGCTATGTGCCACTTGATTTAATCAAAAAAGAACAGATATCACCCGATTCTTACCTTTTGAGACTGTCTATAAAACCACAAGACAAAACATACCCTGTTCCTTCGTGTGTTTATATTAAAGACGATGCTATTCAAGTCATGAGACCTTACACACCTATTAATCAGAACCCATATCGTGATGGCTATATGGACCTGGTTGTCAAAAAATACCAAGATGGTTCAGTCTCTCGTACGATTACCAGTTTTGTGCCTTATCAACATCAAGTATACACAAGAGGGCCTATGGTAGAGCCGGAATGCATCTATGAACCTAATAGTTATAAGGAAGTTGGGATGGTAAAAGAGAAATGGCATTATATGATACACTAAAATGAGTTTGATAGATTGCAGGTGGTACAGGTATATCACCCATGTATCAATTAATTTGCCGAATTCTAGAGAATCCAGATGATGAACAGACTCGTATTTGGTTGATTTATGGCAATAAGACAGAACAAGACATCTTGTTAAAATCAGAATTAGACGCACTTCAACAGAAATACAAAGATAGATTTAGACTGAAATATGTGCTAGAACATCCGCCTGCCAATAGCAGTTATGAAAAGGGTTATGTGACAAAGCAAATGATACAAGAAATGATGCTTGATCAAGGAAAGCGCAAGATATTTGTTTGTGGACCAAACAGAATGTTGGCTTTTGTTTGTGGTGAAAGGGCAAGGGATTATTCTCAAGGCCAAGTGACTGGATTGTTATCTGAATTAGACTTTCATTCTGATGAAACATGGAAATTCCAATAACAATAAAAAAAAAAAAAAAACCTTGATATTTTATATGGCCATTCTTTTCTTTCTTTCTTCTCTTTAAAAAAAAATCCCCTATATGATATCTACCACTATTTCTAAAGATTTATTACAACCTCCTCCTTCACCTAGTTTATCAGCTACTTCGTCTATATCTTCTTGGTTAAGAAAATCACCAAGTGAGTTGGTGCCTATGCTAAAGAATGCCTATACCACACTCAAAGACAAAGAGAGGGATTTGAGATTGGCAGCTGAAATAGGAAAATCCCTATTGGAGAATAATATCGCACTCAAATCTAACTATGAAGATTTATTATCTCAGTCTATTTACCCTACACCTTCCAACTCTTATTCTCTTTTAGATGAACAACCTCAAGAAGACGTCACTTTTATGCCTTCACATACAACGCGAGAAGCCATGATTGAAATGCTGGAAAAAAAGAATACGGAACTATCCACTCAACTAGAGCAGACAGTCCAAACCCAGGAGAAACAGGGCCGTATGCATAAAAAGAAAGAAAGAGAATTGGAGACTGAAATCAAGTTCTTGAAAGGTAGTCTTGATCATGCTACAGTCAAAATACAAGAAATGGAAGAAAAAACAATGCCCAAAGATAGTAATAAACTATCACCACCACACCATGAGGAAGAAGATGTTTCGCTGCTGCATGAGAAAATCAAGCATTTGAGGCTGGAGAATGATCAGGTGTATCAATCCAAATTATCCATGGAAGAGAAGCTGATGAAAACCTTGCATGATTTACGTCTCTTGAAACAGCAAGTGGACCAATTCCAGTTCACTTTGCATGATCATGAACAGCTTCAAAAGTCGTTTGAAGCTCAGCATACGCATATTCAAGAGCTCAAAGCAAGTTTAGAAGAGCATAGAACATTACTGGGTCAGCTTAAAGAACAAGGCGTTATTTATTACGAAGAAGAAGAATACGAAGAAGAAGAAAGCAATCAAAATCTGCTTAGTGAACTACATCATGCTTGGTTAAAAGGGCATGAAGATAATACAAACTTGCTTGAATCAATTCTTGTTCAAGCAGGCGTCGTTGAGAAAGATGCTCTTGATGATGCACTGAGCTTAATCGGTCGTCTGGAACATGAATATGATCATAAAAAATTCCTAAAAGAGAATGGGCATTGGTATGACGATAATTTTAGCATGGTGTCAACTCAACAAAAAGCGGCTATTGTAACACTACTACCACCAACACCACCACCGGAACAATCCTTGGGCTTGGTAGGCTCTGTCCAGCGCATGGTGAAACAAATGCTTTACTTCACGTGGCGGTGGTTTAGATTTACTTTGATTATGACAATCGCTGTCTTTTTAAGTTTAAAAGAAGGCCCTCCTCCGCCACCACGGAAATCCGGTTTGATTACATCCACTGCATCACACACTAAACAATAGAGATATTCTTTCAAAAACTAAAATAAATACACAATTCACACATGATGCAAGTTGAAAAAAATAAGCAAATGTACACAAAAATGTAGTACAATGATTATGTCGTCAATCGAACATTTACATAAAGAAAAGGAGTAGTCCTTACTATATCAAAATGATTCAACTTTCTTTGAGTAAGCTATCTTGATAATCCATAACAATTTCTAGTATGTCTGGTTTGAACGTGTGCAATTCTTTATTGACGGTGGAGACATTGTACGACGCATGATACCTAAAAAAAGAATATGTTGATAAGAAAGCTGTCTTACATGCTGGTCCTTCGGGTGGTTTAAGATACTGAATAGGCATTTCAGCATAATAATTCTATTTTGTATTACTTTAACAATTCATGCATCTTTTTCTCAAGCATATGAAGATGTCATAAAACCTTTTTATATATGCACAAGTACTCTAAATGCCTATAAGCCATGTTTACTAATATATAGGATATTTTTGGTGTTGATTTGAGCAAAAAAAAAAAAGCGACTTGCGAAAAATGGCCAAAATATGCCTTCTGACCAAAGGGTACTATTCATGAAAATCATCATTTTGAAAACTCTTGATCTTATTTTTGACGCTACGAGACGAAAAATAAAGATACCAACGCTACTAGATACACAGAATGTGCGCTAAAGGCTCTAGTTTTTTGATGAATGTATTTGTTTGCCTATTATACTATGAAAAAGATGAGATATGTGCGAAAAACCTCATAAACACTTTTGTCTATTTGCTCAATATTTTAGCAGCAAAGTGGTTATGTTATCTAAATCAGTAGACTCAGAAGACATAAATCTACAACTTTTGTTATTGTATTAGAACCAAATAACTGCATAAAGATGCAATTCTAAGCAAAGACTCTAAGTCAAAAGCAAGTCAAAAGCAAGCCAAACCTGCCAGGAATTTCATTCGAAGATAATATCGTACATGTTTCGTCACTCGTCTGAATCTAAAAATTGTAATATGCGCATAAAATGCTCTGGTGTTTTGGTGTGCTTCTTTCTAAGTACTATCTACAACGGTGTTTCTGGTGTTGCTCTTGGTGTTCTTGTTGTTGTAGCTAGTTCTCATACCCTTGGGTATCTATTCATCCTCTTTTTGTTTTTATTATCCTTTTCTGGCGCTTCGACTGGCCTCGCCCAGTAAGTGTTTAAGAACTTGTTTCTCCTATTCCCTAGATAAGTAAGACTTGATGAGTTCCATATTGCCTTGATGTGGTGGTCCCTGTTACCAAGAGCTTGCTTTACCATTTCATACGGCCGGGTTCCTTAGGGTACCAGGGCTATATTACTAACAGTTTTTTTGGTGTTCTCAACTTGTTGTATCATCAAAGACACTTACATACGTTGGTTTTAAATCAACAGTGTTTGTGTATCGCGATGAGAAGCAAAGAGTGCACTTTTTTTTGTTTCCTTTTTTTTATAGGTTTTTTTCTTTTTCTTTTTTTTTTTTTTTTTTTTTTTTTTTTTTAAAAAAATAAAGTCTATATATAAAACAAAAAAAAAGCTTACAGTTTGTTTGTCATAGTTTAAAAATTAGTAAAAAGTAATGACCTTGATGAGACAGGTTTTGTATATCTGTTTTGTTAGCCCTCTTTCAAAGCCAGTTTTATTCGATGCGTAATCGTTATTTTGCTTATTAGCTTCAGCAAAAGTAATGTAACATCTACTGAATTATCTTCACTGTGTGAGTAAAGTGAAATCCTTTTGATAAAGTTTGTTCTGCATGCTCATATTTCTGATGAAGAAAGGCAAAGCATCAGGAGAGAGTTTATAAAAAGGGAATACCGTCCACTCCAAAAAGGAGCATGCATGTGTAGATTTTGAAAATACAATGGCTACAAGTTTTGAAGTATGCCAGTTCTTTTCAATTTCTTTTTTTGCAATATCCTTCTTTTTTTTATCTTTGTATGCATATGACGAATTATTGGTTTTTTGTATGATAAGTAACAATAAAAAACCTATTTGTTGCTATAAAGTGATCAATTGAACATAATTTTGATAAATCATTTCTTTTCTTTTTCTCAATAAAGCAATTACAACTACTTTTTCTATTTCAGAAATGAGCATCATTCGCGCGAAAGTGGCTGCTCTTTAGAGAGAACATTAGAGTAGATAGAGTGCTTTTTCTGCGGGAGAGGCAAAAGAAATGGGTATCTAATACCTAAGTGAGTTTCTCTTGATTCTTTTCCAAAGCAACTTTAATCATTTTGCTTCTAAGGACTTGAAGGACACTCGATGAGAAGAACAAGATGAACAAAAAAATCACGCCTGCAGCAAGTGACATGTGTTTATCAGAAGCAACACAGGTAGTTTTGTTCGTACAAATGTAATTATTGCCAAAAAATCAACATAAAGAAGTTAAATAAAACTAACATAAAATTAACATAAACTCAAGAGAAAAATGCAAATAACTTAGATGATTCAAAACAAAATAAACAGGAAGTAGATGAATATGTAAATTCGGATACAGATTCTATTTGTAGTAAGAATCCAAGTATATTAGAAGAAGATCACTATTCTGGATATAAAAGATAGCATCAGTAATAAAAATACTGAGAAGATGCTAACAATTGCTGCTGATTCCTTAGGTTTGATAGATAGTGATTTTAGAAATATTTTATCAAATTCTAAGTTACATAACCACTTTGTATCTAAAATCATAAAATATGATAGAACATCAAAGATAAAAATACAAATATATCAATAAATTATACCAATGAGAACTCATGCCTTAAAATCAATCAATATGTCAAATGCTCCAGTGCCTATAGATGAAAGTATCGAATCGAAAATAAACGAGATAATTAAATTTCAGTTAGTATTGACTCATTAAATATAGAAAACACAAAAGAAAGGATGTTGTAGTCGTTATGATGAAAACCGTCATTGATTCTGATGGGAATATCTCCTCTCAATCGTGAAAACACAAAAGCTATTAGCAAAAAGCAAAAAGAAAAAAAAAAAAAAAAAAATTAACGAAATACTCATACTTATATATTTTTTTGTAGTTGGATTTTATTTACAATATTATTGATTAGTCACACATCGCAGAGAGGTGGGACGTCGAAAAACAGGAGTAAAGAAAGACGAAGTAAAGATCATACAATGATCAGGGCTATTTTAGCAAGGAGTGATTTTTGTAGCTAAGGCTACCTGGTAAATTGTATCTGAAATGATACAAGAATGTTCAAAAGCAACCTGGTTAAGAATCAGGTTCCAATAGGATTTCCAGATATTCATTGAGCTATCGCAACGATGGATACAAGCTTGGAGCGGTTTGTAATGGCAGGAGGAAAGGCTTGAAGAGTGAGGACCTTGTGGAGGGAGGAGGAGTAAAGTATACCAGAGGGTAGTAGCAGTTCAGTATTTCCAACCAAACACTCCACTTGGTAGAGCAGTGGGCTATGAAATGATCATACGATTCCGGTTGTGATTTGCACAGCCGACAGACAGGAGTAGAGACAGTACCAATCTTGAAAAGTTCGGACGCAGTGGGCAGTTTCTTGTGAAGCACACGATACCACAGTGTTCTAGCCTGAGGAGCATTGGAGTCCTCCAAAACAGAGAGAGCGAAGTACGAGAAGCCTTTATTTGGATTTAGCTTTGTCTTCATAAGGATGCAGGCAGAAATCCCTAGAAGTGAAAGAGCGCCACAATCTTGTGTCAGTTAATTGCTTGGTCAAAGCATCATAGACAGATACAGTAGATGGTGTCACATCTTGTGTAATATATTGCCACAGGAAAGATTGAAGTTTTACTGTTCGTCTGCGAAGAACGTCTATAAAGAGCTGATGGCACAATCCTGGTAATGTCCCATATTCATGGCGAACCTTCAGGCGTAACCGGTTACTCTGTTCGTCAAAGAGGAAGAAGAGAGATGCTGGTACTTTTGAATGTCGATGAAGCCAGTGGTTCTGAGGTACCTCTTGAAACATGTTAATCAGCGGAAAGTAAAGCAAGTTGGCTAGAGGCACATTATCAAGTTTGAAGTTGATACCAAAGTGATCAAAGGCAGCATAAATACCATTGACAACTGAAGTGGGATGACAAAGGTCATGACGGCGAAGAGCTCTAGAGAAAAAGGGTAGCAATGTATTGTCAGCATCGGAGACATGATGCCAAAGTGTTCTGTCATAAGCACTCGGAGCTGAGTTGTTAGATTAGACGAACTAAACAGAGTAAAGACCCATCTCATCTGCAGCACCAAGTATTGTGTGATAGGGTTGAGAGCTCCTACACACCTTGATTCTTAGGGAGACATAACTGGTCAAAAGAAACATAAGAAACTTCTTTTGCCACACGTAAGCATAGATAATCGAACGAAGTTCATTCAGAAATCGCTTAGTAGGTGCAAACAACCGCAAGCAGTACCAAATTTTGGATAAAATCAAAGTGTTGGCAACGGTAGCTCTTCCTTGAAGCGAGAGTAACGCTGAGAGTAACCATGAACCCGTGTACGCACTTGTTCCAATAACGTATCCTGGACACGATTCCGTTGAGAATTTGTGTATGGCATATAAAAGCCAAGGTATCGAAAAGCAGAAGGGGAATGATGGTGGTAGTATGTTTCGGTATCGTGACTCAAAAGCAAAGATTCCAAGATTCTGACTTGACTCCACTCAGTGAGAAAGCTTCCGTCTTGTGCTTGTTAAATCTTGCATTTGATACAGCACTATACTTAGTCAAGTGATGTTGGAGACGCATAAAATCAGTGGTATCTTGACAAACACACAGATATCATCAGCATATGCGATGCACTTGATCTGTTGAGACGTAGTGCTCATTGTCGGGACATAACCTTGATATGTAGGGTCTTGCTGGATTAAAGAATCAGCGGCTCCAAAGCGATGTTGAACAATAAAGGGGACAAAGGATCGCCCTGCCTTAACCCACGTTGCTGATGTACTGGATCCGTAAAGGATCCGTTGACATTGATTGCTACTGAGTTATCAAAGAACAAATTATAAATACTCTGTATAAATAAGGTAGGGAACCTAGGACACAAGAGCT